ACCCATCAGTCTCGCGCGCGGATGCTTAACGTCTAGACCACTGAGCCAGCAGGTATCCAACAGTGTTAGTGTCTAACTTCAACTAATCTGCGAAAATGAGCGATGCATCCACTATTGTCATCAGTGAGTTACTATCTCACAAATGACCCTGGTTTTTCGTGGTGGTCAAGCTTCAATTGACTCATGATCTCAACTATATATATATATATATATATATATATATATATATATATATATATATTCTATATTTTAGTTTCACACACACATACACGCACACATTCAATTACAACTTCACTGAAAAAACAAAAACATATATTTACCTTGAGGAAAAAAGAATCCAGATATCCAAAATGAAAGAGGTTTTCCTCTAATCATCCATGTGTTAATAAAATCACAACGTAGTACTAAATCTTTTATCCAACTACCTAATGGTTTTAAACTTGGATATGATTTAGATGACCAAATTTCTGGTACAGAATTTTGTAAAAATGCTGTGTATACACCTTCCAAATCTTCTGACATAACAATAAAACCTTTAATTGCTTTTTGAAGTTGTTTCAAAGAATTCTAAAGAATAAAAAAAACTACTATCAGTATAGGATTGTGGAGATTGGTGAGTTTAGATTAACATCATGAATGGGTCAATATTAGACTACCATTGAAAACCTAGAAGTATTGGACAGTCGTTTCATTCTAATATGGAACTCCTCATCAGTGCGAATCCACGATACTGCATGCGGGACTTGAATCAAGTACTTTCAATCTTCCAGGTTTTCAATGGTGATCTAACATTGGTCCATCCATGATATTAATCAAAAGTAAAAGAAATTATTATCAATGAATGAAATATGAAACAATGGTCACAACTATATTTATAGATCTGAACAGATTAGTACCTAACTAATAGTCAACGACTTGATAACTAAGTACGCCATCATGTACTCAGAACTTGAGCCATACTTTGTATGTTTGTGTATTCGTGTGCTGCTGTTCACATAGAACTAGTTGGAGTGAATTTTGAACAATATAAATCAGTAGTTGAAAGTTGAATGTTTTAATTGTAATTCATCTAGTTCTATAATGATATTTCTGTGGAATTAAACATATCTTGTTGATTCGATTAGTTGAACTTTATGATTCGTTGTTTAAAACGAAATGTTAATGTGGAGTTAATGACATTTGAGATCACGAAACTGGTCAATTCAATTTTATATAAATATATCCATTTCTTCCCAAAGCTTTAATGTATGAAAGGAATGTTTGTTTAACAAGTTGATCCTTAATTGAGGAACAGAATATGTCATAAACTAACTATCTATCTGTTATTCAAAGTTACTTATATTATTAGAAAGCTAAGGAAGTAAATAAAGTGTAACTCAATATATTACAAGAAAGCTTCATTAATTGAATCAGAGTCTCAATATGTATTCAAATTTGCAACTTTAGACTGTATTGTTAGCTCTAAGCAAAGATGAATAGTGACTAGCAGTGGAATCCAATTCAACGCGTGTTTCGTCCTATTTGGGACTCGTCAGCTGGATGTATCTACATCTGAGAGTTGATGTTTACTCTGGCACTCCAACCCAGTACCGTTTGCTTCAAACGCCATCATGTTATCCACTTAGTCTTGATACCCACTTGCTTGTGCAATGACGTGAAGTTATATTCACTTGGTGTTGTTTACTTGTATCTTCCCGTTGTTATTTAGGACTTCAACTGATCAGTCTCTTGTTGGCATATGTGCATCATGTGCGGACTGCCTTGATACTGCCCGAATTCGCAATCTTTATGAGTAAAAATGGATAATGGCTAGCAATGGAATCCAGGATACAGGTCTCATCTTATTTGGGACTGGTCAGCTGGATGTGCCTGTATTTAAGAATGGGTATTCACTCGTGGAGGGTCTCGAACTCAATACCGTTCGCTCCAAACTCCGTTACGTTATCCACTTAGCTACTGAGTCCTAAAGCATTTGAAGAGGACGGTATTGGGTTCGAGTCCTTGAGTGAACATGAACTCGGAGATGCAGGTACATCCAGCTGACGAGTCCTAAATAGGATGAAACACGCATCGAACTGGATTTCACTGCTAGCCACTATTCATCTTTGCTTATCATATCAATTATAATTATTCAATTTATATATATATATATATATATATATATATATATATATATATATATATATATATATATATATATATATATATATATATATACGTACCTTGATAATTTTTAATAATTTATTAAATCGATCAATTTCTTGAGTAAGTACAGTAGTCAATGAATCTATACGACCTTTATTATCAGTATCGAATAAATCTGGACGTGCATCTTCAATATTAATTTTTTCTGGTAATTTTTTCAATATAGAATCAGCTTGTTCATAAACCATATCATCATTTGTTTTCCCTGTACTCATTGTATTTGTACGTGGTTGAACATTAAGAATAACAGATAATAGATTATTTGTTTCTTGAAGCTTTTAATAATAATTTATTGAAAATAGAAAACAAAAAGCAACAGAATTATAAATTATAATGTTAAAATGTCAATTGTTTATGTTGACAATATAGAGTGAACATTGACCCAATCAGTCAGCTACAACGTAGCATCAGGCACATATATGCAGTGGTCCAAGTTGTTATACCTCATTAGCACAACAAGATGAACACCAAATTCATATAAAGCAGTTACTTCAATGGTAGTAATACATAAAAGAATGATCGTGTATCAAGCCTCTGACACAGAAGTCCTACTCACTGACTTCTCGTCACCATCACTGCAGAACATCTTTAAGCTCTCTAATCCAAAACCCGAGTTATGTATGAAGTTCATTACTGAATGACGAGATTTATCTGAAAATTTGTTATGAATATGAAGCATAACGTAAATACTGATAATTTTCAAGCCTCAAATCATGAGATATTAAGGTAACCATTAAATTGTCATAGGGTTAGTCAAAATGAAAGTGGATTATTAAAATGGGACAAAATACAGATAAATTAACGAAATTGACTACAAATTAGAAGACAGTACATTATTGTGTCAAGCATGAAATGTAACGAATATCAAAATAGATCAGAATATCTCTGAAAATTCAGTTGTTAAATGAAAATAGTATCAAGGGGTGTCACACATAACATCAATGAAATAACCTAAAAGGGGGTAAGAAATGCTATTACATATAATAAAACAAACTGAAACATTGAAATAAAAGTACAAATGGTTAGCATTTATATAACCGATCATAATATTGAATAATAATATTGGTGGAATACACATAACTACTGAATAATATTAAGTAATATTGTGTAATATGACCCGTAAAGAAAAGCTATTGACAAGGCTGATTCATGAATTAATATGTATGAGTTTCAGTTTCGATAATTCACATTACTGCAACATGAGACGAACTTGATAAGGTGAGAAATAGAAGAGAAAAATGATTAGAAACAGTATCAGAATCTGAAAATGAGAAATTTGATTCGAAGAAAGGTTGAAAAGTAAAATGTTAGTCCTGAGTTCGAATTCCGAGAGCGTAATCGTGAATGCGCACTACTGAGGAGTCCCATACTGGAGCGAAGTGACTGTCCAATGTTTCCAGGTTTTCCACGGTGCTCTAGCTCTAGTCGACTCATGAATTCAATCATTAAATTAATCAACAGTTGTCATAGGGTAGCTGTGAGTGTTTTAGTTTGTTTATTAATGTAAAAGCTTTCATCTGTTATTCATTCTTTATAAATACCAAAACCTTTCTGAAGTATTATCATCTAAATAAATTCAAAATCCTATTTAGTAATAACAAAGTTCAAATGATGAAATTGCAGTTTGACATTTAGTTTATTAGTTCGGGGATAAAGTAGATTTACAGTAAATCCTACTTGATCTAAGATTCATACTGATTGATAATCATTAATAAATCATACGTCTGTAATTCTGATAGGAATTATCATTTGTGTGGGATTTCAATATCTGCATCATACAGTATTATCGTCAGTAACCGATTGTAGGACTGTAATATCACTACTTGTTAATCACTAATGATTATTATAAAGCAATATATTAATATCAAACTACATTTATACTTTTGTGCGAGAACACTTATTACCTGATATACTAAATTAGCATTTTCATTCATACCAAATAATTCAGGTCCTGAACTAAATGGAAGACTAGATACATATTCCAAATATTCTGCTAAAGTTTCTTTAGTTGGTGGATAATAAATACCAGATGATGAATAAACATAATCTGATTTTAATGTAGATGGATGAAAGAAACGTTGAAGTATTGTACGTAAACATCTCTGATCCCAGAAATCAGTGACACGTCCACCATATGTAATCTAAAATAAGAAATGTAAAATAATACTTTTGTCAAAGATCTATTTCTAGTAAGATTTCTATTGGTTAACACTTACTGGACATGTTGTTGAGGTGATCCCGAAAATTACTTGCAAAAGACAAGCAAGCATCAGGAATCACTAAGAAGCGTTTCGTCCAATTAGCGTTCACTTGAAGTTTTTGCCAAAAATATCAAGGGAGCGAAACGTCACATGTAGTGGTTCTGATTGGCCAGTTGCTACACTGCTACTATGTTTAGTAGCATTTCCAGAATCTTCTGGCAACCCAAGGACATTTAAAATATTATGGAAAGCCTGTATTTTCTGTATTAAAATGAACTCATACTTTGAGTCTTGTCTCTCGTGTTCAGGTCGTATTATAGTTCTAGCTTGGGGATTACAGAATAGCTTAGGAGACGAATATAGCGTTCAGTCCGCAAGACTTATCAATGTTAATGTTTAAGTTACCTCATTATTTCAATGAATACCTCGTTAGTATTTGAAGAGAATAGTACTGTATTCAAATCTTATTGTGAACAACAATATTTGGTTATAGGTATATTCATTTGATGAGTTTTAAACAAGATGAAACGCACATTTTGAGTTACGGTGCTAGTCACAATTCAACTTAAAACTAAACCTAAACTAAACTAACTAATTCGACCAGAATGTACATATACCGAGAAAAAAAGATATTGATTGATTCTAATCCTGCATGGCAACAACCGGAAATTGAAAACACTTAGTAACAAAGATAAACTTATTAAGTCATATCATTCTATGTCCGTTAGATAAGTAATATGATATGTAAAAAAAGTGTGGGGGGGGAGGTGAAACAACAACGTTTACTAACTTCAGCTGTGATATACGTTAAAGCATCCCATGGTATATAAGATTCATGACAGAACATTTCTAAATTTAATAATGCACATTCACGATCCGAATCATTAAAATCATAATTAATATTCCATCCAAGTGGTCCAAATTTTTTTCTTTCCAATATAATTGAATGAAAGAAACAAATACCAAATACTAATTTACGCCAATCATTTCTTAACACTGTATCAATAATATTTAGAGAAGAAAACAAAAAAACAAAATATGAAAAGTAAGTATGTTAGATCATTTCATTATTATCTAACATTTACTAACTGTTATATCCCGATAAGAATCACGAGTCAATTGTAGCTAGACCTTGATGAGAAACCTGAAAGCACTGGATGGCCGTTTCGTTCTAGTGTTGAACTCCTCAGCAGTGCGCATCCACGATCTCGCACCACACGAGATCCGAACCCAGGACCTATCAGTTTCGTGACGGGCGCTTAACCGACTAGACCACTAAGCCGGCATTCGGTGGTGTTAATGTCTAACTTCAACCACTTCATGAAGTCGCACAATCGTACACCATTGTCTTCAGTGAGGTGATTTTTCACAACAGACCTGGTTGAACTCCACTGGTAACGGTTTCTCACTAGAACTCCGGGGGTATCTCTTGAAGTCAATCACTAGTGAGCAGATGATTATTATCAGAAGTGGGCTTTGTGTAGATTTTAGAAATTTCACTGATTGAAATATTGTATAATTGTTAAATAACTAAACTATTCATATTCATATACCTCTTATTATGACCTTCAGTCTGCTCTATGAACTATAATTTTATGATTTACCATTCTTGAGTTATCACTTGTCTATTAATCACTACCTCCCACATTCATAGCCACATTTGGCCAAATTTTGTACAAATGTTATTTACTATTTTATGCTACATTGCGGTCTGTTTGATTGGTATATAAACCCAGTATGTTTGAAATAAATGATTCATAATGCAGAGGCTGAGATTGGTGTTCTGGACTTAATAGGCTGGGTTAGGCAGGAAGCAGGACCGATAAGGACTCTAGGCTGATCGTACGTGTTTTATAGGTCATTCGTCCGGTCGATAATTCACTTTTTCTCTAATTGGCAATATCATTACGTTATATATTAATAGGACACGGGGCACAAGTTATAACACTAATGTTAACAATCTCTTCATTATTGTATAATATAGAATCAATAAATGACGTAACATTATATAAAAACTTAAGTTGGTATTAGAAAATTACTACTGCTGCTGCTACTAATGTAGTGAACAAGAACTCAGGTGGAGAAAAGCAATTCATTATTCGATACACAATTACAGAGTTATAAGCAAAAATGGATAGTGGCTAGCATTGGAATTCAGTTTGATGCGCATTTCGTCCTATTTGGGACTCGTCAGCTGGATATATTTTCATCCAAACGGGCAGTGAGTTCGAATCCCGGAGTAGCAACCCACTCTGAGATGCAGGCACATCCAGCTGACGAATCCCAAATAGGACGAAACGCGAGTCAACTTGGATTCCACTGCTAACCAATATTCATCTTGGCTTATAATGCTTGTGAATTAAGGTAATGTCGAGGCAATCCATACAGTATGCACATATGCCGATAACAGACTAATCCATTGCAGTCCTAAACTTTAGTGAAAAGATTCGGTTAAATAATACAAAGTGAATTTACAATTATAGAGTGTTTTCATAAAGTTGAAAACCGTACACCAAAATACATAATTTGCACATCTTCAATCATTTGTCCTTTACGTATTTCATGATTCTTTCAAATATGCTGTTATTACAATAACTTTCTGTTTCTCTCTTCTGCTCAACCGAATCTTTTCAATCTTCTAATGACATGCATTTCACTTTCGATTAGTGCTACCTACTACTTATATCTGTCAACATAAGTAGCATACACCATACTTCGACTCCTAATTACCATTAATATTACTGTAATAAACGAGAACACGAATAGGGACAATTAATGTATATTAAGACAAAACTACAGGTAAGATGTGAGAACCATGCACTGAATACTTCATCTTCAAGTTTTCATCAACTATCCTTCACATTGTCTATGATTCATCTAGTTCACAATTTTTTTTCTATTTTCCCTTCTGTTCTTTTCAACTTCATCTTCTTTCTTTCTTTCTTTCTTTCTTTCTTTCTTTATTTTAACACAGATATTGGTGCAAGAAGGCACCAAATACATATACGCCACACAAATCTCATTTGATATGTGTGAGGGCTGTGATACTGACCGGGCGCCCAAACCGAAACAAGTGGTTTTCTTAGAGGGCCACATCCGGAGCCTTCGACCTGAAGGTCTGATCCACAAGGCAGTGGAGCAATGTAAGGAGATGCAGTTGCATGGTAGCCGGTGACCAACGATTGGTTCATACGCCATTTGTTCCTTCAGGATACTGGAGCCCATGTACACTATTGGTTTGGAATCATGGTTTTCCAACTCCCCTAGGTGGACTGTCCGTATTCACCAACCCAGTTAAAGTGCCGGACGTTCGATTTCCGTTCTCCCAATTTCGTGAACAACACCTTGGTGGCGCGAGAATGCAGTGAGTAGGAGTTCCCTGGCAGAGGCTAAATACACGTGACCACGTGAGAGCATTTCGAGAGGGGGAGCGGACTCTCCCTACTCTTGGCCGTACCAGGGCCCACTTCTGCCTGGTTTTCTAATTTCGATTGGTGTTGCATATTACCTACATCGACAGACATAGGTAGCATAGACTACACAACTATTAGTATTACTATCATTATTACTACTGCTAATGCAATTCTGTTGAATGGTTGAAGGCATTTCATCAATTCATGATCATATTTAGCTTATCAATCATCATAACAATATAAAGGTGAGATATAGTCATCATCATTATCACCATTAATTACATACATTTGAATCATTTCTCAAAATATATACCTCGATTTACACAGAAAATTATGTCATATGTATATGGAACACACTCCCAACATTGCAAACCTACCATGTGTATTAAATGATTCCATGGATATATCATTCAATGCTCGAACAAGATTTGCTTTTAATCCTTTTGGTGGTTCATTAGTTACTTTTACTGAATTTTGTAATACAGATATTGGAAATGATTTTGATGGCATTGAACTTAAATATAAACGAAAATCTGTATGTGTTGATTTAGGATTTTCAGCAAGTTGTTTCACTATTTCTTCTAATCGAATCATCCATGAAGCAGCTAAATGACAATTCTTTCAAAATAAAAAAAATACACAAAAAATACAACGCTAAATTGAAGATCGTTTTTACTTTCGATGGAGTTTTACTCTCTAAGCTGATCAAACCATTCAGCTCAGAGAACAAAACTCCATCGAAATCATTCATCGGAGCTACAGATCTTCTCCATCATCCCATGGTTTTTACTATTTTGTTTCTTAAGAACAATAGAAATAAGTAATGTATACTTACTTAATTATTGGTGAATGATTGATAACGATTCATTAACTGAAGTGATTTGGATGATGTGTCACATATACTTAACTACCATCTACATCAACGAGCAACATTAACTGGTATGAGAAAAGGTTTGAGAAAAAAAACAACTAGTTCCTGTTAAACTACGATATGACATTAACCCATGAAATAATGATTACTTGTTGATATGAGTCGTACTGATTGGTGTAAACTGCTTGGATAAGTTTCACTTGATACTTTTAAACAATGATCATTGGTTCTTTCCGTTTGGTTCGACGGATGCTTACGTTGAATAATTCATCTGCGTATAATTATTAAATAGCTGACTGAATCAAAAGATTAAATTACAATGTAATTTAGGTATTTCATTGATTAATACCTTTATTACGAACTTTTTTACTCCTGAATTTCCAGATAACTTAAGTATCTTCCTTAAGACAATGTACCGTGTTAGTGACATCTTTCGTAATAGCTTCATGAACTGGGATTCTAAGTGAAGCACATGTAGTTCATTTTTGTAACTTACCATTTTACCTTAGAATGAGTTATTACTTTATGAGTTTACTATCATACATATTTATATATGAATACTGTGAATTAACTAAAGGAACTAGGTATGATAGGCTGAATAATTTTAGGCATACTACATGCAGTACAAATAACCAAACAGCTCGTACATCCTTTCAAGGTTGAACAGTCAATGAGGAATCATAAATTAGGTGGGTAGTTAGGGGAAATTAGTTATACACTTGAAAAAGTTGATGATCTATATATATAAGAAAGGAGGGGGGGTTGCGGAGGTTTTAGTAATTTAATAGTCGAATTCATGAGCCGATTAAAGCTAGACCATCATGGAAAAGCTGGGAGGACTAGATGGTGTATGGATATATCGTTATTTAATTCACATAGGACAAATATATAATTACTCTTGATTTGTGTATATCATCAATAGATTTTCCAAGTTGAAGCCTTCTAATCATCTCTCAATCTTTTCATTCTTATCACTGATTGGAAAAAGTGCATACCATGTAGTTGAATCAAAAGTTCCAGGTCGTAACATGGTAGGGTTGAATTCAAACTAAAATATTTATTATTCTATAAATGATTTCATTATTAACATCTTATGGAACTAGAACTGCTTTATTAATGAAACAAGAACATTAATTTTTATATGATACTTTAGAAATATTGGTTAACAATTGCTATGTTTGAAGCGATTACAAGTTCATCTAATCTGGGAACGGAACAATAACTCGGTGACCAAAGACCAATAAGCCAGGTATTCTGATGCGTCCCAGCCACGCTAACTAGAGAGAGAAGTTCATGTTCGAAACGGGGAAATATATCTTGCAAGCAGCAAGAAGCACGAGCAAATAAAAATAGGCACAAATCATCCCGGACAGGATAATCAGTGAGAACCAGACTCCATTCACCTTAAACATCCATTTATTTTAGAGTATCCTATGTACTGTTCCCAAAAAACCATTTGACAGCTTTATAATATCAGAGTTTTCAGTAATGTTGCGTCTCATTACCTGAATGATTTAACTATGCCTGTCTACAAGAAACTGTTGAGATCCTTACAGTTTACTGAGTTTGTGATTAATACTCACTCAAGAAGGTAGTTTGAATAAAAGTGTATTTATAAAAGTGTAGATGATACTTGTATTCAAACCTATCCGATGGATAATATGAGAACCAAAAGAGAATCTGATATAGTCTCAGATCATCACTTACTGGTCGCCAAGATGAAACTGAAATCAGTCAGTGATCATGAGTGTTGTTAGAGGTATTAGAGTGGTTATCACCTCCCGGTTGCCCACACTGTGAAAGGGTTCATCTGAAGGTACCTGAGAAGAAAACTGGATTAGAGGTGACCTTAGTGACCACAGTGTCCAAGAGACAATTGCTTGAGGTCGGTCACTCACGACCTTGTTGTGAGTAATTTTCGTGTTAGCTCCGTATTTGTTGAGACCTTACGGCTGGAGACGGATATCCATAGGATAAGGTGAGGTGTGCATTTTTAGGGTTGACCTCCTCTAACTTCACCCCTCCTTGTGAGAAGGCAGCATCACTTTCATGCTGGTTGTTCGAAGGAAACACCATAACAACGTCACACCTCTGTACAATCAGCAGTACGACTTCGCCCTCAGACCTTGGGCCTGCTACTTTTAGTCTTATCGCTCTTCAACCGAACCGTCTGGCATGGTAGGACCTTGATGAACGATTTTTCCAGCCAGTATAGCGCTACTGGTTCATCACGATAGGCAAGCATGACCACCACGTCAAGGTGGCAACAACGATCGGGTATGAAACCGAAATTCAAGAATCACTGAATAACGGACTGGACATCACAAAAGTTTAATACGTCCTTTCTTCGGCATACTAACAGACTCAATCAATTCAAGATAGTCCTAAAAAATTCAGTCGGTTAGATAGTCAGTCAGCTACAACGTAGGACTAGGCACATATATACATCGGTTCAAGTTGTCATACCGCATTAGCACAACAAGACGAACACCAAATTCATAGAAGTGGTTAATTCAGTGGTGGTAATATATAAAAGAAAGATTGTATAGAAGGATACAGTACAGGAAGAAAGAATTAGTTCGTAGAAAGAAAGATATGAAGAGATTTTAATCTCATTGCTTAAAGGAAGACAGAGAGTTTATACACGCACACTACTGTAATCGATTCTGATCCATGTCACCCACAGTCTCCAATCATTGGTTACGATAGTCACCGATGGACCCTAACAAATAATATGCATCTACCAATATGGCCCAGACTAGAAGGTTCATTTTTATTTATTTGTTTTAACACACAGATATTGTTACAAGGAGGCACCAAATACATATACACCAAACAAATCTTATTTGATATGTGTGAGGGCTGTGATACTGACCGGGCGCCCAAACCGAAACAAGTGGTTTTCTTAGACGGCCACATCCGGATCCTTCGACCTGAAGGTCTGATCCACAAGGCAGTGGAGCAATGTAAGGAGATGCAGTTGCATGGTAGCCGGTGACCAACGATTGGTTCATACGCCATTTGTTCCTTCAGGATACTGGAGCCCATGTACACTATTGGTTTGGAATCATGGTTTTTCAACTCCCCTAAGTGGACTCTCCATATCCACCAACCAGGTTAAAGCGTCGCTTTTCGTCCTCTCAATTTCGTAAACAACACCCCTGCCACGAGAAGGTAGTGAGAGTAGGACTTCCCTGACAGAGGCTATACACACGTGGCCATATGAGAGCATTTCGAGAGGGAGAGCGAATTCTCTCCACTCTCGGCCGTACCAGGAGCATTTGAAGGTCAAACTAGAAGGTTAGTGACTAATGTCATGTTTTCATTGAGCCACCCCTTTTTATTCAAACAATATCATTCTAATCAAATCATTTAAATCATTTTTTTTTGAAAAACATTTCAATCATTACCTGTAAAAATACCCAATCACCTAATTTACATGCTTCATTAATTAATTTCTCTGCTTTTGGACCTTGTCCTTGTCCTAATGATACAATATGTACACGTTCTATATAATTAAATTCTTTAATAAATTTTTGAAATTGATTCATTGGATCTGAACCACTTGATAATATAAATATTAATGGTGTAATTGAATTAATTTCTTTATATAATATTGATAATTGACATGAAGGGGTTTCAATAAATTCTTTACCAAGATTATAATATATAAAATCTCTTATTACTTTGGTCGTTTTCTCTTCATAGAATGTTGATATAAGTAATAATTTTTGAAATGATGTTAATTTTTCATTATAGTTACTAAGTGGTAATGTATTTTTATCATATTTAGGAGTTAATCTATAAATACCCAATTCTTCATCATCTTCTTGTTGTTGTTGTTGTTCCCTTGGTAACTGTTTCATTATTGGATTAAAATCAATAATAATTGAATAATTACAAATATCATTAGGTAATGTATGAAATTGTTCTGGAAAATATTGTGATAAATCAATAATACGTTTCCATTGTTTTATATTTAACCAATTTTTTGTATGAATTGGTTGTTCTAATTGTTGTTTATTATTAGTCATTATATTATCATTAGGTATACCTAATAAGAAATACAACCATTCATTGATTGTAATTTGATTCATTTGTTTTAATATTTCAATACATAACATAAATGAAAAGATTAATTTATCACGTTCAAATAAACCACGTGAAATATTATTATATGTTGCTATAGTAATAGAATCTATTAAAATTTGTATACGTTCATCTAATGTAGTTACATTTGGACTATTTTGTATCGTTGTATTGAATAACTGAAAAAAAAGAAAAGAAAAAAAAAAGAGTTCTGTTATGATTTTATGTCCGGCTTTTTTATCATGTGATTTATCCACCAATCAAAATACGACTTATACAATGTTAACACTATGCCAAACCAATGACGTCCGAGCGGTATGAGCGGCCTAGCGTCCTCATTGGTCCTATGTCCGCCTAGCCCGTCCACTTGAGTCCAGAAACACAATACCAGCTTCTTCAATATGAATCGAAATAAAAAATAAACAAAAAATATTTATAAATAAAGTGTTTAGTGTTTATACCTGTTTACAGAGCATTGGTTACTGATTAGCATTCTACAGTCCAGTCAGTCCTGAACCTTTCTTTCTAGTCCTATCCAATTGTTATTCATTTTTCTCATATCTGCCTCGGTTTCTCGGTGTAATGTGTTCTTTGGTCATCCTCCTCTCCTTTGGCCTTGAGGATTTCAAGTGGTGAGGGCTTGCCTTGTGACGTACGTAGTTAGGTGCTTTCATCAATATGTGTACTATCCACTTACAGCCATTCTTCCTAATTTCTTCCTCCACTGGAATCTGGTTTGTTCTCTCACACAGTGAGTTGTTGCTGATGGTGTTTGGCCAACGGATCCGAAGTATTTTGTGTAGACAATTGTTAATGAACACTTGTATGTTCTGAATGATGGTTTTCGTAGTTGTCCAAGTTTCCACTCCACACAATAGAACTGTGTTGACATTTGTATTGGAAATGCTGGTTTTGGTGTTGGTTGACAGACAATTGTTTTAATTTCTAGATGTTCTTCAGTTGTAGATATTTCGTTCTTGCTTTGCAGACTGATGCATTCACATCTGCATCAGATCCACTATGTTCATCAATGATGTTGCCCAAATATGTAACGGTTTCTTTATCTTCCAAGGATTCTGTGTCAGGTGTGATTTCATTGGTGCATGCTTTGTTGTATCGAAGAACTTTTCATTTCCACTATGACCCATGCTCCCCCCTCGATGTCAACGTCTTTATAATCCAGTTGATCACCAGGAGAAAGAGAATGGTTGAGAGTAAGCAACCTTGTCTGACACCTGCATTTACTTCGAACGAGTCTATCAATTGTTCTCCATGCACGATTTTGCAGTTTAATCCATCATAGGGATTCCGTATGATGTTGATTATCTTCTTGGGCACGCCGTAGTGTCAAAGAAGCCTCCATACTGTTGTCCTGTCCGCATTATCAAATGGTTTCTCATAGTCAATGAAGTTGATATAGAGTGATCAATTCCAATCAATTGATTGTTGCACAATGATCCACAATGTTGTGATTTGGTCTGTACACGATCGATCCTTACGGATTCAAAATGAATGTCAGAAACGATTTCATTTAATAAATTCATTAGTACAATGAGGATTTGTGGAGATTGTAGTAATTTTAATAGTTGAATTCATGAGTTCATCTAATCTAAATCACCACTGAAAACCTGGAAGATTGAAGGTTCTAGGTCCAATCCCAGTTGAGGGATCGTGGATGTAGAATGCTGAAGAGTCCTATACTAGGATGCAACGGCTGTAGACTGCTTTCAGATTTTCAATAGTGATCTAGCTTAGATCGATTTATGAATTCAACTATTAACATTAATTACATTCTCTATTGTTTTTCGAGTTTAGAGATCTAATTAAAACAGCTTCATTGTGTATGACATTGTTTATTAACTAATTAGTAGTAGTAGTAACGATTTTGCATTAGAATACAATATCAGATGTATCCGCTTTTATTACGACTAAAAACGAACCATATTTTCCTATCATATTTCTCAAAAAAACGAAGACGTTCTTGTTACTCTATAACAGATTTGACCACATCATGAAATTTATTATTCCAATGCACTTCTTTCCATCAGTGTAAGATGGTTGAATACAACTGACAGAAAGTTCTTCTTGATTTCATACACTTCAATACTCATTGTCTAAGTATATCCATAATCTTAAAAGAACTGATAATCCCTGCGAAGTTTGTATCCATATCGCTACTCATTGTTTACAATCTCATATTACTGATAAGTAATATCGAGATAACACGGTGCTTGAAGGTAATCAACAGGAAACCCTGGACCCGAGTTTCGTGCTATTTGGTACATCTTGCTAACGAGTGCTATTTTAATTTGCATGATAGGATTATTTTTATTAAGAATTCCTTTTGGACCCTGTTTAGCCGTACTTTTTGAAACGATTTTAAAAGAATTGTTTAAGTACATTGAGAACTTTCATTTCACAATTGATTGATCACTTGGTGGTGATCAATGTCCTGTGTGTCAACTCCTTCTTAGTGCAGATCGAATGCTATCGACCAAGTTGCAATATGGCCACCATTCTAGGTGACTCGACTCTGCGGGGACTATATATTGAGATTAGATGGTGGTTGGGGGTAGTCGACAGGAAACATTGGACCTGCGTTTCATGGCATTTGGCATTCGTCAGCAAGGTGTACCTGTAATCTTGAGGGAACTGGTGCTCCCTGAAGGATTCGACCCTTTTTCACCATCTTATATCAACATAGTGCACGCAATGTCGATTCATCTAGACTAGTGGCTACAGTGCAACTTGGTCGATAGCATTCGATCTGCACTAAGAAGGAGTTGACACGCATGACATTGATCACCACCCAGTGATAAATAATATCATTATAAATCACGAAAACTAATTATATAACAATTCACTTACATTTTTGAAATATTTCAATGAAAATTGATACATTGGATCAATTTCAGCCATAGCTGTTATTACAAAATACATAACAGAACCACGTGTAGCAATTGGTAAATATTTTGAACGTGCTGTTGTAATTTTTTGTTCTGTTAATGTTGCTTCAGTTAAACGTTTTGTAATTTCACTTGATTTTATTTTAGATTCATTTAATGTATTAATTAAATCTTCATTATCTAATATATTCCCTTCAGATTCAAATAATAATTTCAATATTCTATTTTCTGTTTCCTAAAATATATAGATATTATATGTGTGGAAACATTGAATATTAGTCAAAAGATGATTGATATTGTAAACAGAACCGAGATATTTTGAAACTATTATTATTACTTTAACACAGATATTGGTACAAGGAGGCACCAAATACATATGCACCGCACAAATCTCATTTGATTTGTGTGAGGGCTGTGATACTGACCGGGTGCTCAGACCGAAGCAGGTGGTTTTCCTAGAGGGTCACACCCCGGGCCCTTGACCTAAAGGTCTGATCCACAACGCAGTGGAGCAACGTAAGGAGATGCATTCTCATGGAAGCAGGTGACCAACGATTGGTTCATACGCCATTTGTTCCTGCAGGATACTGGAACCCTTGTGCACCATTGGTTCCACTGTCATGTGGATCAGACTTTTAGGTCAAAGGTTAAGAGTGTGGCTCGCTAGGAAAATCACCCACTTCGGTTTAGGCATCCGGACAGTATCCCAGCTTTCATATAAATCGAATGACTTTTGTGGTGTATATCTATTTGGTGTCTCCTTGTACCAAATGTTTATGTGTTTTAATAAATAAATAAAAGTAATTTAAGCAAACGAATAACGTAAAATTTCGAATTCTAATAACAACTAATACCTATCGAACAAAATGTACAATATTGTAGCTAACAATCCTTTGAAGTTTAAAGAGATGCATACATTGATTGAATACTCGTATTAAATTAAAGTAAAATTAATACCAGCTGGCGATAGAGAGTGTATACACCTAGGTGATTGTGGTCGATTCTGAGCGATGTCAACTACAGTCTCTAACCATTGGTCAAGATAGTTAAGGCTGACCCCAACCAAGTAGTCTGCACCTATCAACATGGCTAAGACTAAGTGACTTCAAGAACTGATGCCACATTTTGGTTTGACCACCCCTAACTTTCTTCCAGCTGTCTCCTACACTAGTCAGCCTTGCACGTCGTGGTAATCAGTGTTCAGTCATACGTAACACGTGGCCCAACCATCTCAGTCAATGAAGATTCACAACGTCGTCAACTAATTTACCATCATTCCCTAATACCCTACGTCTGTCCTTACTAAGACTTATCCGGTGATCCCAGCAGATGTGAGCAATATTTCTAAGGTGTACAATTGATCTTTTTTTCTCGGAATGACTCAAAATCAACAAAATAGTTTTATCGATAATCACAATGATAAACACTGATCATTGGAAATTATTAAATCCATATATATTGATTTTATTTAGTTTGACTTTAATTAATTTAGTAAACTCTTGAATAATCCCGTAATATATTTATTCAAATCATAGCGATGTTAAGTGTGATCAATAAAAGAACTCACCAATGATAAATTGAAACGCCCACCACCACATTAACTTTCTTGGACCTTGTACGACTATGTTTTGGTTATTCACCAATCACAATTATGTTCATTATAAAACAATATTCGCCGCCTTGTTGACTCATTTTTCCTATACCCTAGTTAATGTTCGGTAATGTTGTTTATGTCTGTATTTTCCCCTGTGTTCATAGCCTGTACTGTTTGTTTTTGTACACTAACGGTGTTAATTTATGTTTTAGAAAACTGATAAAGTAGTTTATCAAGCCAAATAGCTTACTTGTTCTGACTTTGGCTAAACCAAGACTCTATGCTCGACTGTCTAAAGAATAGCTTAGAGTTACAGCTGTAGGAAATTGCTTCCTACAAATGAAAACAGTCAAACAAAACTTACTGATGGGTTTTATATTTATTTATTTAAACACATAAATATTAGTACAAGAAAGCACCAAATAGATATGTGCCACATAAATCATTCAATTTCTGTGACGGCTGGGATACTGTCCGGATGCCTAAACTTAAGCAGGTGGTTACACCCTGAGCCGCATAGTAGTGGGACAACATCAGGAGATACAGTCTTATGGTAGCCGGTAACCAATAATTAGTTCATATGCCATTTGTTTCCTTAGGATCCTGGAGCCCATATACACCAACCGGTTTAAATCGCCGGATATTCGCTTTTTATCCTTTCAATTTCTTAAACAACAGTAATACCGCGAGAATGCAATGAGTAGGATTTCCCTGACAGTGGTTGTATACATGTGACCATGTGAGAGCATTTCGAGAGAGAGAACTGACTCTCCCCACTCTCAGTCATACCAGGTCATTTGGTGGTGGGGCACTGATGGGTATCATACATACACACACGCACACACATAAAGACAGAAAAACAAACAAACCTTAAACATTCCACTTACTTTTAATTGATTTTTATCTGTATTAATTTTAACAATTAATTGATTACGTTGTTCTTCTAATTCTGGTCTTTCAATACTAGTAACATCATTTAATAATTGATCTTCTAAACCATTTAATGTTACAGTAAAATTAATAATTGTTACTTTAATAGATATATCAGGTAAATAATGTGGATTAGATAATTTAGTTGTTATATATAAACGAAAATTTTGATTATATTCTATATCATTATCACCAAGTCGTATTAATAAACGACCACCGGACATAAAAGTTTGTTTTAATAATATAGATTCTAATGAAGGATCTAATGTTTCAGCAATATCTTCAATTAATAATGGTAATCCTAAACGTATACAATTTTCTAAGATTCTTAATAAATTTGAATCGGTTAATTTAATAATTTTTAATTGATTCTGTGATTCCATTGTACGTATCCAACGATTGGCTTGTTCTTGTGGATCAATGAATAATGGCCAACGTCTTGAATTTGTAACTAAAATAGCATTATCTATACTAAATGAATCTTTTGGTAAACCTTGTATTGTCCATTGTCTTATTTCATATAAATTACCAAGGATATGAAATAATGTTAATTCTTCACTAACAGATATATTTAATTCATGACAACGATGAATCCATTGTTGCATTAAATCATGACGATAATTGATTGTGAATGCACCATAATAAGCTATACAAGCGGATGCTATAAATACATCACCTATAATATGATTTAATTGTATATTATATTGTTCTATTGATAATTTCCAACGATCTTGTTCATCCATTAAACCAGTGGTTAATTTATTAGCACGTTTTAATCTAGTTGATATTAATGTTAAATATTGTTCTAGTTTCTTTTTTTCATTGATGGATTGATGATACTCTTGTTGTAATAATGTAATCTTTTGTTCTACATCTGATAATTCTAATTGTTTCTGTTGAAGTTTACGCATGACAATATCTAAATCTGCATTCGCTTCTTCTAAACTAGAAATGTGAAAAGAAAGAGAAGAGAATTGTAAATATGGAAGATAAACTATCTTTGTTTTTATCAGTTTAGATGGGGTGTGAAGATTGTTAAGTTTTATTTTTTTGATTGAGATCATCAACCGATTGATGTTAGACTATCACTGAAAACCTAGAAGCATTGAACAGCCGTTTAGTTCTATTGTGGGACTCCTCAGTAGTGTGCACCCACGATCCCGCTCGCGGGATTCGAACCCAGGGCCTTTAGTCTTGTGTGAGAACGCTTAACCTACTGAGTGGATGGTGTTAATGTCTAACCTCAGCCAATCCATGAAGTTGCGCGACCATCTTCCATTGTACTGAGGTAGATACCTGTTTCTATCCGACATGGATACGCACTGCTGAAGAGTCCCACAATAGAACGAAACGGCTGTCCAGTGTTTCCAGGTTTTCAATGGTGGTCTAGCATCATCAGTCGGTTGATGATCTCAACAAAAAAACTTAAGAACCTCCACACCCCATCTAAACCGATAATTACCATGTGCTCACTAGTGACTAGCTTCGTGAGAAAATTCTCGGAGTTTTGGTGAGAAGCCATGACCAGTGGAGCTAATCCGTATCGAGTAGACACAGGTGTCTACCTTAGTACAATGGAAGATGGTCGCGCAACTTCATGGATTGGTTGAGGTTACACAATAATATCCTTGTTTTTGTTTTTTCCAAAAAAACAAAACAAACAAATACAAACAGTCATTCCATTATAGACTATATGGTATTGTGACGTGTGCTAACTAGTGTCGACAAATATAAGTAGTATGTAACATCAATTGAAAGTGGAATACATGGTTACAGAACGTTGAGACAATCAAGAAAAATTGAATGGGAAAAGAGAGTAATTGGTATGATGTGGGCTACGTATGCAAAAATAAGTAGTATAAAATGCTATTGAGAAATAGAATGCCTGGCAGCAGATAGTTGAGATCAAATAAAAGAGAATCAGAACAGAAAGTAATTGGACAAGTGGAGGGTTCATTATGAATGCAGTGGTCTTGAGTGCTGTTAGAGGTATGACAGTGGTTATCACTTCCTAGTTGCCCACACTATGAAAGGGTTCTTCTAAAGGTACCTGAAAAGAAAATTGGATTAGAGGTGGTCTTAGTGACCTGACAGTGTGACTGCAGTGCCAAAGGGACAACTGCTTGAGGTCAGTCACACACGACCTTGTTGTGAGTAATTTTCGTGTTATCTCCGTATTTGTTGAAACCTTACCGCCGGAGACGGATATCCGTGGGATAAGGTGAGGTGTGCATTTTTACGGTCGACCTATTCTAACCCCACCCCTCCTTGTGGGAAGGTAGAATCGCTGTTATACTGGTTGTCTGAAAGAAACACCTTACTGCTGTCAAACCTCTGTACAGTCAGCAATACGAATTCACTTTGGACCTTAGGTTTATTGCTTTTAGTCTTACCACTCTTCAACCGATCTGTCTGGCATGGTAGGACCTTGATGAACGATTATTGCATCCAGTATAGCTTGATTGGTTCATCATGATAGGCAAGCTTGACCACCAACAACGGTCGGGGAAAGTAATTGGTATGCAAATGAAAGAACAATAAATTGTGGGAAAATTAATGGACATTTTATCAATCAATTAGTGAATGTATAGTATTCATATTTTATCAAATAGCTCTGTAATTTTTCATCCAAATACATCTGTCTATCCCTATTTTTGTGTTTTCAATCAATATAATATTTCGGACAAATAATGCAGCAGAACTTACATTAAACAATACAACCGAACCATAGTAATAATAAGATAAAGAGAAATAGTATAGAATGCAATGTAAAATTAAAAATCAAGGATCAGATGAAAGAATAAAAATTAGTAAATAGGTTATGAGTGAATACAATTCTATTGCTACGATTCCTTTAGGGTTATTTCATTTAACTTCCTTAGTTAAAGACTCTAGATATACATATGTATGTCTTTTGTAAATAATAAAAAAAGTAGCTTAATGAGAAGGTCCACTGATGGTAATCAAAAGTGATCTAAAGGACGAGTTCATTTGATTGAATAAGCAATGGATCGATTTTATAAGGATTAGAGTGGTATATATAGAGCGAGCGAGAGTTTTTGTACATTTTATTCGGCAGACAATGACACTTTCTCGTTCACTGTTATGTTCTTGCTCAAATAGTCATTTGTGGGGGGGGGTGGTTAGCGCGTAGCACATCATATATCAGTATCAGTTTCAGACCATGCCCGTTACAACAATTTGAAAAAATGATGCTGATAATGATGATGCTACAGATATACATAAGTGATTATTATGAGTTAAATCAACAATGCCGTGGATCAACAAATGTTAAATTTCTGTTTTTCATGGAGTTTTATTCTCTGAGCTGGATGGTTTGGTCGTGGATCTTTCATCTTTCTTCTGAACGATGTCATCAACACAAACATTAACTGATTACAATCTGGAAGTAAGAGAATGAGGTTGTTTTAAATAGGATACTAGAGTATATTAGACAGTTTAAGACATTACGTGGATGCGTAATCAATAGGTCGGGAAAATTCTAAGAATAAAGGGAAATCTCTTAAAGCACGAGGTTCATGTCAATCTGTAATCAGCATACACATAAATGTACATTCAATGTAACAATTTATGTCGGGAAGAACAATCAATCGCAAATCAGAAGAGTTGACCTAATGAAACATTAACGGGAATACGAAAGTACTCAATGCCTATGGAGTAATCAAAAAGGTCATTTCTACATTGGATAAGAATGATAACTAAAGTTACATAATTAAATCATTTAGCTCAAACAAACCCAATCCTACCAAAGAGATTCACCTAAGTTATAAACCTTCATCATTTCAATTTGTAGTAGTCTGAAATTTTAGACTAGCATACTAGTAATCAAGAACGTTTCACTTTATTAGACTCTACCATAGATAATTCTCAATACTTCACTATTTCAAGTCAGTACTTTTATAAGTATTATTGAATAGACCCAAGGTTTGCTTTCACCACTTTCAGTTCATATCTTATTGTTATAACGGTTGGTTTTCCACGTTTACACGTATGGGACGTTAATTTACCTTAGACGAATATCTACACTAGATACCATCCCAGTGTCTATTCTACAGGACTTCAACACGACTCAGATCAAGAACCCGTGATTAGCCTGACCATAACGTAAATATATTTCCACACCAAAAACCCGACACAATCCAACAACAATGAGCAATCAATAATGAGTCAGTTATAATAATAAAGATAGGGGAATATGTAACTCATCTGACAACATGTCTGACGAAGCGAACAACCAATCATTACTATTCTCATTCACACATCACTTATCTAATGCTATTCCAAGAAGAATAGCAAGATAGTTGGTATTAAAGTTTTAATTTTAACGTTTGGGAATATTTCAAAGAAGGAAAAGGAAAGTAACCTAATACTACAAAATCAATGATTTATTCAGTCAATGAATCAATCAATCGACCAACCAATCAATCAACCAGCCAATCAATACATCAATCAATCAACCAACTAACCAACCAATCGATTAACCAACTAACCAATCAATCAATCAACCAATCAATCAATCAATCGATCAACCAACAAAACAGTCTAAAGTTATATATATACATATTAAAACAAAAAAACCTAAGAATATTATCATACCGTTTCCTTTTTGGTTCCACAGTACGAAATATATGAGCGTATAAATTCAATGCTCTAACCCACATACACATTGATTTACAAGCTTTACTTGTTTTTTCAACAATTTCTGGTATAAATTCAGGATTATCAATAAATTTTTTTAATTTTTTTAATTGTCCATCAGTTATATCATCTTTTGGATATTCAACTAATTTTCTTAAAAAATTTGAATCATTTAATACAGTTTTAGCTGTTGCCCAATCACCTCTAAATGAAAAGAATAATAATAACGATAAATGATTAAGTGAAATATAACAAGTTATTTGGTTAGATGAATGTGTACTGTTGAGGAGTTCCACACTAGGACGAAACGGTTGTCCAGTGCTTCAAGGTTTTTCAAGGTGGTATAGCGTCAATTGACTCATGAGCTCAACTATCATATTACTAATACTTACTTACTTAATTACGCCTGCTACTCTCAATGAAGCATAGGCTGCCGACCAGCATTCTGCAATGAAATCTGTTCTAAACCTTTCTTACTAGTTCTATCCAATCATTGTTCAATCTTCTCATATCTCTCTCCATTTCTCTGTGCAATGTGTTATTTCGTCTTACTCTCCTCCTTTCGCCTTGAGGATTTCAAGTGATCAGGGCTTACCTTGTGACACACGCAGTTGGGTGCTTTCCTCGATGTGTGTACTATCCACTTCTAGCGATTCTTCTTGAGTTCTTCCTCCACTGGAATCTGGTTTGTTCTAGCACACAGTAAGTTGTTGCTGATGGTGTTTGGCCAACGGATCCGAAATATTTTGTGTAGACAATTGTTAATAAACACTTGTATGTTCTGGATGATGGTTTTCGTAGTTGTCCAAGTTTCCACCCCATACAATAGAACTGTGTTGACATTTGTATTGGAAATGCTGATTTTGGTGTCGGTTTAGAGACAGTTGTTTTGATTTTCAGATGTTCTTCAATTGTAGATATGCTGCTCTTGCTTTGCCGATCGGTGCATTCACATCTGCATCAGATCCACTATGTTCATCAATGATGCTGCCCAGATGTGTAAAGGTCTTTACATCCTCCAAATCTTTTTCATCAAGTGTGATCCACCTGGAGCCCTTCTAATGCTGCTGCCAGTTGCAAACCTGGATAATTTCTGGTCACTTAAATCAATGGCTGAATGACAAATCAAAATCCAACTGTTCAAGTGGGAGAAATAAATACCGTTCTACTTGTTGACTGCTGCTTTCCAAGTAAAACCGACAAAGTGCATTGATATGATGAAGATAAAGTTGTTTTCTAATCGTTAATAACATGTAATCAAATCTTAAGAAGGAGTGATTGTATAACCTGGTCATTTAGTTGTATCTGTTGGTTTTATATGTTTAATTGTTTTATATTGTGAATTTATTTACATGGAAAATTATTGACTACTCGGAGTTAAATACCATTCAGTTTAGTATAAATAAGTCTGACTGTATCAGTATAAAGGTTGTTGAGATTATTAAGTTTTTGATTGAGATCATCAACCGATTGATGCTACGCCACCACTGAAAACCTGGAAGCAATAGACGGCCGTTTCGTCTTATTGTTGAACTCTTCTGCAGTATGCATCCACGATCCTGCTCGTGGGATTCAAACCTAGGACCTTCAGTCTCGCGCGCGTATGCTTAACCTACTGAACCCCTGAGCCAGCATCAACATCCTTGGATACTTCTAGGTTTTCAATGGTGGTCTAATATCAATCGGTTCATGATCTCAAAAAATCTGACTATAAACAAATTATGTATAAATAGTGGTATATTCATATAACATATTGATTTATCTGAGAAGTCAGTTGAATCCTTATCTATAATCTTCAGTTATCTATTACTTCAGTCATCCAATTCATGGTTCCAGTTGCAAGTATCATGTCAGTTAAGTATGCCGCGGATACTATATATATATATATATATCTTACTTTTGTCCAAGCATAATACAAACAGCTTCCATAACAGTTTGTACTAATTGTGGTGGTTTAGTGAATACACGAATTTCAGATATATCATTTTTATCTAATGAATCAAGTGCTTTATTAGCTGCTTCCAATGCTGGTATTGCTTCATCTAAATCCCGTTGTGCATCATCAGCTATAATTTGATTTTCAGCTGCTTTTTGTTTAGCCAACATTTCATCTTCTTTAACTCGACTACGAACAATATCAGCCTAATAACAAAGGATTCAAGAAAAATAAAACAACACAAAATAACTAAGTAATTTTATGAATATTCTTAAAGTATACTTCATCAGAAACTAATATCATGTGCTAAACAATGAACATTTAAAGTAAACCGGATGATTGTTTCATCCTAATTAGAGCGTCCACAAAGTAGAACACCCATGATCATACATGGAATAGACAACCACGAGTAGATAAACCAGTGGCTATGGTTACGTAATAGGTAATTAAGTCATATTTTTTTGGAAGTACATATACAATGATATGTTTATACTGAATTGATAATTTCACTGGTTGAAATCATGAGTCATTTGAAGCTAGACCATCAGGGAAAACCTGGAAGCACTGGATGGCCGTTTCGTCCTAGTATGGGACTCCTCATCAGTGGGCATACACGATCCCGCACCCCGCGAGATTCGAACTCAGGACCTATCAGTCTCGCGCCAAGCGCTTAACCAACCAGTCCCTTGAGCCGGCGTCCAATAGTGTTAATGTATAACTTCAACAACACTTAATTGATAAGTTTCAAGTTTTAAAATGAAGTACGAGTTATTGTTGTATATCATTGTCTATTCAAATACTGAATATAATACATTACCTGTTCTTGATCTTCACTTAATTTTATCATTAATTTTTCTGTATCACGTTGTTTTGCTTCAAGTGTTGGACGTAATGCTGTTAGTTCCGTTTCCATTTTAGCAATTAAATCATTAGTTTCTAATATTTTATTTAAACCATTACGAAATTTATCACGTCCATCAGTTAATTCTCTAGACAAAAAAAAGAGAAAAAGGAAATGCATTAGAGAGCGAGAAAAACACAGAATCATCCGATTGCACAAGCCTTTGGTCATCATGACTAACTAGCTAAGGGAAGATGCATGATAGCGTTTGAAGTGGACAATACTGGTTTCGAGTTTTGTAGTGAACATCAACTCTGCAATGCAGATACATTCAGCTGACAAATTCAAAATAGGATAGAATGCGTGTCCTGGATCTCATTACTAGCCATCATTCCATCTTTTCTTAGAAATAAACAATTGTTTGATGATAATCACAATTATAATTGTATGAACCAAGTTACAATTTGGTAGATAGGATTCGATCTACACTAAGAAGTACTTGACATATATGACATGGATCACTAACTTAGTGATCAATCAATTGTAACTACTAATAATCTTTGACTTATTAATTAGAATGAATTAACTCACTTTGTTTTTTTATTCAACATTGTCATATATAATCCAAGCAATTCTAAATAACTTGTCGGTGTAGTATAATAATGACGTTTTAATTCATTATAAAAACGTACAGCTGCTTCTGAAACACTTAAATGAATATCGGTAGATAATTTTGATATAGATTCCTGTTAATAATAGAAATAAATAAAAAATTTATTAGCTTTACAGACTTATCACTATTGTAAAAATGTGTCGTTTACATCATAAACTGACACTATGACAGAAATACGAGGTATATCCTGGAGTTCTAGTAGGAAGTAGTGACCAATGAACTTCAACCAGGTCTGTTGTGAGATAGTAACTCACTGAAGACAATGGTAAATGTGTCGCTCAATTTCGTGGATTAGTTGAAGTTAGACATTAACACCGTTGGATGCCGGCCAGCTCAGTGGTCTAGTGGTTAAGTGCTCGTGAGCGAAACCAGTAGGTCCTGGGTTCGAATCCAGCAGGGGGCGAAGTCGTGGATGCACACTGCTGAGGAGTCCCACAATAGAACGAAACGGCCGTCCAGTGCTTCCAGGTTTTCCATGGTGGTCTAGCTTCAAATGACTCGTGATCTTAACCATTGAAATTACTAGTCAATTGGTCAATAACAATATAGAACTTCGTAAGTACATACAAACATCAGTTTAAGTTGACATACCACATTACAACAGAGATATAATTATCGATTCATGGAATCCAGAGAATTCAAGTGAGTTAAATGTTACATTCAAAATGCGTAAGAATATAATTGTTATTCAGTAATTCTAACTTTTCTATGCTTCCAGAAACATTTTCCTTTAACCATAATATGGAATAGAATTATTTTGCTTACAAAAATTCTTGAATTATCATTTCGACTAATTATAAAAATATCAGTATAGCTTGATGTTATGAATGGATCAATGATAGACCACTATTAAAAACTTTGAAGTATTGAACGGAAGTCTCATCGCTGTATGGAACTAATCAGAAATGCGCATCCACGATCTCGCATGTGAGACTCAAGGCTAAAACCTTCGGTGTCGAGTGAAAACGTTTAACCTTTAGACCAATGAGCAGGCATTCAACGGTGTTACTGTCTAACTTCAACCACTCAGCCTTCTACCATTGTCTTCAGTGAATAACTACCACACAGGTGTTTACGCGCTAGATCGAAAGTGTTCGTTTCGGGTCCCGTAAAAAGGATCGTGGAGTGCACTGCCGAGGAGACCCATACTAGGAAGAAACAGCCATCCAATGCTTCCAGGTTTTCCATGGTAGTCTAGCTTTAATCGGCTCATGTATTCAACTATTATGTTAAATTTTGAATTGATTTTGAGCAATTGAACATGGATTAATGCTTCTGTATTTCTTGAAAATGTTATTTAACATTTTCTCAAAGAATTTAGATGCTCTTCTAATGGCTACATCAACAAACTGGCAGAGTAACTAAATTAATTCGAGCAAATATTTGAAATCAACTATTGAGTGTTATCTGTTTTTTATTGACTATTTATTCCAATCATTTAAATAATTGAGTTATTCAGATTAGCCAATTAAGGTTACAGAAAGCCTGACTGGCTTTTGCCAACTTGCGTCGTTTATGGCGTAGGCGAGTTATCCCTCTATCAACCAAAGGACGGGTCTACTGCTCAGCAGTTCGTTCCGTCCTACTGTATGGCAGTGAAACACGGCCGGTAAGAGTAGAGGATATTCGTTGGTTACTAGTATTTGATCATTGGTGTCTTCAAAACATTGCTCGTATATCCTGGGACCACCGAATAAGCAATGGAGTTGTTAGGAAACGGGTACTAGGTAAGGATAGGAAATGAATTGATAAAGCAGTGAAACTTCATCAGTTGAGATGGCTGGAACATTTAGTACGTATGTCCGATGTGCGATGTCTCATGGTCTAGGAGTAGGTAGTAAGAAAGTTAGGGGCGGCCAGAACAAAACATGGTACAAATCCATCAAGTCACTGACAAGTGGACTGAGTCATGTTGGTAAGTGTAGACTATCTGGTTGGGATCCGCAATATGATAGTAACCGATGGTTAGAAACCTTGAATATTATGGATCAAAATCGTTTGCAATGGCTCAGGTGTATCCACTCTTTGTATTCTCTCAAATTCTAATGTTCTGAATTCAGCATTTCTCTTTGTTTTCTCTTTTCAGATTTATTTCACTGGATTATACTCTTTGAATAACATCTTCGAAGCCTAATCTTTCCGATTACTGCTTATACTTTTAATACCTCTACGACTATTGTAATTGAATTGACAATTGTATTTCTCAGAAGGGGTTTTGTGGAGATTTTAGAAATTTCACTGATTGAAATCATGGGTCAATCGAAGCTAGACCACCATGGAAAACCTGGAAGCACTAGATGGCCGTTTCGTTCTAGTGTTGGACTCCCCAGCAGTGCGCATCCACGATCTCGCATCACACGAGATTCGAACCCAGGACCTATCAGTTTCGTGACGGGCGCTTAACCGACTAGACCACTAAGCCGGCATTCGGTGGTGTTAATGTCTAACTTCAACCAATTCACGAAGTTGCACCATCGTACACCATTGTCTTCAGTGAGGTGATTTCTCACAACAGACCTGGTTGAACTCCACTGGTAACGGCTTCTCACTAGAACTCCAGAGGTATGTCTTGAAGTCAATCACTAGTGAGCAGATGGTTATTATCAGAAGGGGTCTAGTGGTTCCATGTTTTTCATGGTGGTCTAGCTTTAGTTGACTCATGATTTCAATCAGTGAAATTGTATGCACATATGTACTTACGATGTTCTACGTTGTTGCTGACTGACAAACTGACTAACTGATCAATATTACACATAATTAAAACTGACTTTACCATAACTAACTTAAATCAATATTAATAATTGTTAGGATGTGCAGAAAAATATACCAATAGTTATCATGTTAAGTCTAATGTTGGCCTTGGATGCTAAATGTACATTCCCTATTGGTCGGTATCTGTTCACTTGTTGAATATTGTACAAAATGTTGTTTTCTATTTTTATGGTACGATGTGGTCTGCTTGGTTAGTTTATAAATAAAGTATGTCTGAAATACAATGATTCATATCTCAGAGGCTGTGACATTCGTTCTGGACTCAACTGTCTGGGATAAACAGGGAAGCAGGGCTCTAGGTCGTCCGTACGTATTTACGTGTCACAGAGGCGATCGACATAAACTCTGCTTATTAAAACCTGCATTCACCCGTTACAACAATAATTAATATATAACTTACTTTAAGTTCATTTGAACCAAAATCCGATTGTGAAAATGTATACATAGCAACATTATATAATGCTTCTTTAGGCCATTCAATAAACCAATCAATTATACAACAATTAATTAATGATGGAAACATTCTACATCTTATACGAAAATTGATACCAATTGGTGACATACATAATACAATATGTAAATTATTTTTAATACGATTAATAAAAAATTCATAAATTCCATTACGATTTCCTTCAATGATACCATATTCTTTAGCTGCTATACGACAATCATTAATAATATGTTCATATTCATCATTATCGAATAGATTTGATACTTCACCAGAATTCAATATATTATTAATATCTTCAAGGAATTCTTCTATAATAATTTGATTATCTGTCATTAAGAATACAGTTGGTTTATTATCTATACCAGCTATATAATAAAGTTTTTTTAAATCTTCATGAAATGATACATAATCATAACCACGACATAATTCAATTTGATAACATTGATAATCATTGATATGTGCTGCTAATCTAAAATATTTTAAAAGAAAGAAAGGAAGAAGGTTAGATAATGCCATCAATGGATACCGACTGACTGGCTCAGTGATCTAGTAGGTTAAGTAGTTGCGCGCAAAAACTGAAGGCTCTGAGTTCGAATCCCGCAAGTGGGATTGTGGATGAACATTGTTAAGGAGTATAGTACAATAAAACGAAACGGTTGTACATTGCTTTTAAGTTTTCAATGATGGTCTAATATCAATCGGTTCACGATCTCAATCAATCAACTTTATAAATTAGATCATTAACAGTATTATGATTGATAAGCGAAAATGGTTAGTGATTAGAAGTGGAATTCAGTTTGATTCATGTTTCGTTCTATTTAGGAATTATTAGCTGAATGTACCTATGTTTCAGGGTTGATATTTACTGTGGGACTCGAACTCAATACTGTTCGCTTCAAATGTCATCGTGTTATTCACTTAACTGTTGAGTCCTGATAGCCACCTACTTGTGCAATGCGGTGAAGTTTGAATTTACTTGATGTTGTTTTACTTGTATCTTATATATGCATCCTGTGAGGATAGTTTCGATACTAGCCTCAAGTCACAAGCATTTTAAGAAAAATTAGATAGTGGATAGAAGTGGAATCCAGGACGCTCGTTTCGTTTCATTTGGGACTCGTTAGTTGGATTTACCTACATCTCAGAGTTGATGTTCACTCTGAAACTCAAACTCATTATCGTTCACTTCAAACGCCATCACGTTATCCAATATCAGCCACTATCCATCTTTGCTTATAAAGCTTGTAAATTAAGGCTATATCGAGGTAATAAGCACAGGATGCATATATACCAATAAGAGACTGGTCAATTACAGTCCTAAACATCAATGGGAAGATTCAAACAGACAATGCCAAGTGAATTTAATATCGTGAATTGATTGAAGTTAATAGTGTAAATTATCAAATACTACTTCAATAGTCCGAAATCTAAGCGCTCAACATCAAACCTGAGGATCCTCAGTTCTATTTGAAGTAGGATTGTCGGTGAGACTATAATTTATGGACGACCTTTGAGAGACACCAGACTGACCTTGAGAGTGTTTACCTAATAACCAGGATCAAATGAGATTTATAAACCTGTGTGATGAATTAGAATTACGATTTACAGTTGATGATTAGATTTAGGATCTCCATAACGAACTGACATCAGTTACAATGCCATGAATGTATTTAGCCAAATGAATTAGTGAATTGCTCGCCGAAATCAGAGATCTGTTAACTTATACCTGATTGGTTCGCCCATAAATTATAGTCTCACCATTCATTTATTTAGAAATTTGAGCATAGCCGATAAGTTACAACTAGTGAGACTATAATTTTGAGACAATCTTTAATTGATGTTGAAGTAACCTAGAAAAAATTCATCTACTTATTCAGATCAAAAGAGTTTACGATTACAATTTAGAGTCGGGAGTTACATTTAGATTTAGGATTAAGGTAATTAACGTAAATTGACAACTTTATGAGTTGGGTCTTCGTAATGGTGAGTCGAAATTCCATTTATGTTACCATACACTTAGTTCTTTTTTGACTGTTTTGAGAATGAAATGTTTGTAAACGGATATCATATTACTCTTTATCAAAAGAAATGCAAAATATAGAGACTATTTATTTTAATACTATATGTTTTTATTTAGATAAAATAATGCCTATGTGTTATGATAATGAAAACAGTATATTCCGAATTTAAGGGCTTGATAATAGATGATAAGATGTGTTGTATTACATAATAGACTAGGTATATTAGAACACTATACTAAATAAAACATTAGATTAACAGACCACTTTAGGGTTTACATGAAACACTGATACACGATTCTGACTCATGACTGAGAACTGGACAATGAGTTAGAATGATCGTTTATTGAAATAAAGAGCAACCTGTTACATACTCTTACAATCATTCAAGTTCATGAAAAAGCTTCAGTATTCAGTAGTCGGTCAGTCAGTCATAATTAACTCTGAGCCTAGTACATACATGTATTGGTTCAAATTGCCATTTTTCATGAACATGAGGAGATGATTTCAAAAAGATAAATGACGAAGGAATCATAATATTGTAGCAGCAAACATATTGAAAAGGTTTGAACACTGAAAATGTGGTTCTAAAATGAAAAAGCTTAAAAGGTACATTTGGAAGATTGCTGAAGCTCAAGATCTTGGGGAAAGGATAAGGAGTGAATGCATTTGGACTTCTGTAGTCTTTTCTGAACAATATCATTCACTACCTTCAAGCAATGATCTCAATTGATACATAGAATTCATCAAATGAAAAGCAAATTAAATGAGTCATTCATGTAACCGGAAGTAGCTATCATACAGCTTAGTTTACATTACTACCATAATATACTACTGACTAACAGTTATCTATATTATTCACTACTAAAGAAAAAGACGTTTATTTTACCTAGTTAATGATTGTTTACCGGTACCACCGACACCAACTAATAAAGCATTTCCTCTATCTTGTCTAATTATTCGAGCAATACGACAAACATGTTCAATCGCATCGACAAAGAAGACAAGTTTCACATCCTTTGACATTGTCATATTGTAATCATCCAAGTACTGTAAAGAAATGATGCATTTAAAATGAAATCATTACAGAAGAGTTTTTATATGTTCATAGAGAAAAGATTGATAGATAATACAACAGAAAATCTACTTAATATATCAATCAGAACACTATTAATTATTTCATGTGTTATTGATGTTAAGAACTTCAACCCATTAATCTATTTGGAATAATATATTATCCTGAGTAGATTGATTCGATGAGTAAGACCAATGGCTATTCGGACCTAGAAGATTAGTGGATAATGTGTTGAGCGTTTGAAGTGAAAGACACTGAGTCCTCGAATCTCGGAGTGAATATCAACACAGATTCAACCACATTCAACTGACGAGTCACGAATAGCTAGTACCAAACCTTTCTTAAAAGATCTTATTGGTTGTTTTATAATCTTTATCGTTATTATTTAATAAGTTATACCACAGTGGTTGAATGTTTCTTTTATGAATAGCGGCATTAATTCCCTTCCATGTGTATATTCAACCATTATGTAAGAGATCTCATTTATCCATTTCTTGTTTTATGATAATTATAATATGAATGCATCCAGATAGAAAATTCATTTTTAAGTATTCTGGTAGTTTTTAATAGATATGACTTTCTTTTAGGGAGATACATTTCATTATCCTAAATATTGTTCCATTTAACTGATACCCAAAGACAATTATCAAGCTGTATGTATACGTTTAAACATTTATACAATCGTCAGTAATATAAGTTGTGTTAACAAGTAAATGTTCAAAATACAATTTTCGAAACTTTTCATCTCCGTTGATGAGAATCAAAAACCCAACAATCTTCACAACCTCATGTTGGCAATAACCATGTGCTCACTAGTGATTACCTTCAAGAGGTGATTCTCGGAGTTCTAGTGAAAAGCCGTGACTAGTGGGGCTAATCCGATCGGGTAGAGACAGGTATCTTCCTCAGACTATGGAAGATGGTCGTGGATTGGTTGAAGTTAAATATTAACACCGTTGGATCACAGCTTAGTGGTCTAGAAATTAAGCATTTGCGCTCAAGACCGAAGATTCTGGGTTCGAGTCTTCCGTGCGGGGTCGTGGGTTGTCTCTGCCGATGAGTCCCATACTAGAATGAACCGGCCGTCTAGTACTTCCAGATTTTCAACGATGGTCTAACATTGATCAATTCATGATCTAAATCAAAAACTCAATCATCTCCACAAATCCATAATGATGAGAATAACTTTTAAACATTGTATTGTTGACCCAAAATTAATCAATCATACGAGAAATTCCCGAAATTCCGCTAAATGTATCATTATTTTTAATTAACCTACTTTTATGTCATCTCTCAACTTGATCAGGTTCAATTCACTAATGTTATATAAAGTATTTACACCCGCTTAGTTTATCAATTAGTTTATTGTATTTAACTTGTAACCATTTGAAGATAACTTGTGGAATAAATGGATTCAATTCATTTCCTATACAGTTTCATTAAAACAACAAACTTAAACAACCGTCAAAATGTAGTTCGAAAAGTTTTGGTTTTTTATGTGAATACCTGCAATCGATTAACCTTTATTGGCATATGTGAACCCTTAGAAGATGGGTACAACATATCTATCTGAACTCTGTAACTCAGTGGTTAATTTATTAACATTTGGAGTGAAGGTATAGATTTCATGTCTAAGTAACAGCTAAATTTCATTATTGATTATGTTTCTTTCCATTCTTTTAACCTCCATTTCATATCTACAACCGTAGATCAACTATTTTTCTCAACAATCTAACATGTTGTCAATGGTTTATAGTGTGTTTCTTATTGAAATTAATGATGATGCAAATAAAAATTGGCTATAATGTGACCATCAAATTACAATCTTAGTTGCAATTGGTTTATCTTAATGTCCTAGTTCAACCAGATTACTGTTCTTATTTTCCTGAAAAATATATAAAAATATACATAGACTCGGGGTACCTAACCTGTCGTATGCCCTAATGGTGTTCTCGTGACTTTCGAGTTACCTGATCTGCCAAGGGAGATAGGATAGAGCGTGGTGCTATTGTTATTTGCTAGGTTCAAAGAGAATTGTATGTTATACGCATGCAAACCCGCCCCCTTATTGTTATTGTTGATGTTGTTCCCATACATAGACTGCAGAATGTAAGACGTACAATTAAGACAGCAGAAGGTCATAAACATATTAATGAAACAGCTCTTTCCAAACAATAATATATACAAGAAATATTGAAATAAACAAAAAACATTACAGAGAACCTTCTTAATCTTTTATACTTACATCCATTAACAATGATTTTAATTTATCCATATCATTTATTTCTTCATATAATCGTTCAGATCGTGGAATACCAGGTCTTAGAAAATCACCAAATAAAATTGGATGCTTTGTAAATGTTTCTGCTTCTATAGTCTAAGAAAAAAAGCGAATTAATTTAATATTTACTCAAACGCTCTTTGGATAGAAATATATGAATAGTGGCCAGTAGTGGAATCCAGGACGCGTGTTTCGTCAGCTGGATGTACCTGCACCTCACTCTGGGACTCGAACTCAATACCGTTCGCTTCAAATGCTTTGGAACTCAGTAGCTAAGTGGATAACGTGACGGAGATTGGAGCGAACGGTATTGAGTTCGAGACCCTCCACGAGTGAATACCAACTCTAAGATACAGGTACATCCAGCTGACTAGCTCCAAATAGGATGAGACCTGTGTCCTGGATTCCATTGCTAACCATTATCCATCTTTGCTTATAATGCTTGTGACTTCAGGAAATATCGAGGCAGTCCGCACACAATGCACATATGCCAACAAGAGACTGGTCAATTAAAGTCTTATATAACGATGGGAAGATACAAGTAAACAACACCAAGTAAATCTTTGGATGGAATTATGTACTCTAAAGATTTATTTTTGTCAAGAACCAGTATTAACCGGTTGGTTACTCACTAAAAAACCCAGGTCTACAATGGACAAATTCTTTTAAATTAAACTTTGCGACTGCTTGATACTGAAGTTTTACTTACAAGATGGATAAGATATTATCTAAATGACTGAATTTGAATCCAATAGTTGAGTTTTCTAATTTCAATGAATTATTCATTTGATGTGTTCCCTAAACCAATATCGTGGTGATTTACGTCTTCACTACTAACATATTTGGCTCAAATGACTACTGCTTCATATTAGGTTTTTAATAAATACATCTCCAAGACAACTAACTTGAGATTTGAAGCCGCTTAATTTTTTAAAATTAGGCTTCAAAAAATCCGTTTATCATTCTACTAACTAGGAAGTCATATTGGAACAAAAAGCATATTTCGATTCCTTTATCATTATGAAATGATATCATGTACAGGGTACAATTGATGAGATCAGTGAATCTGATGCAGATGTGAATGCGCCGATCGGTAAAACAAGTGCAGCATATCTACAACTGAAGAACATCTGGAACTCAAAACAACTGTCTGTCAACCAACACCAAAATCAACATTTTCAATACAAATGTCAATACAGTTCTATTGTATGAAGTGGAAACTTGGACAACTACGAAAGCCGTCATCCAGAACATACGAGTGTTTATTAACAATTGTCTACACAAAATATTTCGGATCCGTTGGCCAAACACCATCAGCAACAACCTACTGTGAGAGAGAACAAACTAGATTCCAGTGGAGGAAGAAATCAAGAAGAATGGCTGTAAGTGGATATTACACATATTGATGAAAGCACCTAACTACGTACGTCACAAGGCAAGCCCTCACCACTTGAAATCCTCAAGGCGATAGGAGGAGAGTAAGACGAAAGAACACATTACACAGAGAAATGGAGACTGACATGAGAAGAGTGAACAACGACTGGATAGAACTAGAAAGAAAGGTTCAGGACAGAGTGGTTTGGAGTATGCTTATCGGCAGCCTACGCTCCATTGGGATTAACAGGCGTAAGTAGGTAAGTAGGTAACAAGGGACAATCGGAGAATAAAAGGTGTTGAGTTTAAATTCATTTTGATATCAACACTTTGAGGTGAAAATTTTTAATCCATCTGAATTCAGTTACATAATTGATAAATCAATCTTGGAATTTAATAATTTCTGTGTATTGAGAAATAATGATAAATTGGCTAATGAACAGATATTTTATTTATTCTAGAGATCAAGTGCTCGCTCGCAAGACTGATAGGTCCTGGTTTCGAATCTCGCGAGGCGGGATCGTGGATACGCAATGCTGATGAGTCACACAGTAAGACGATTCGTCCGTTCCGTGCCTCCAGGTTTTCCGTGATGGTCTGGCTTAAATTGACTCATGATCTCAACTATTGACTATCGTAACCAATGGTCAGAGACTCTTGGTAACATGGCTCAAAATCGATCACAAGGGCGTCAGTGTATACACTCTATGTCTTCCATTAAACTAAGTGATTAAAATCGCTTTCTACGAACTAATTCTTTCTTCCTTTACTATTTCGTTATATGCAATCTTTCTTTTATATATTACCACCACTGAATTAACACCTTTATAAATTTGGTGTTCATCTTGTTGTGTTAATGAGGCAATGACAACTTGAACCGATGCATATATGTGCTTGGTCCTACATTGTAACTGGCTGACTGACTGACTATAATATCCACGAAACCTCTTCTGAAATTATTTTGATATTTACCACTGAATTTCTTGTTATGAAATTGAAAGCTATACTTTTGACAAGTGGGCAATTAAAAAACAAAATAATGGTATAATTGATGATTGCAGATAGGTAAGTAACTAGCAAAAATGTTTTCACTAGACATTGACAAAGTACTATATTACTCATTTGTAGTTCGTCTCAAATGCCACAATAAACCATAAACAGCCAAAATTCTTTCGAATTTCTCTCATATGGTCTCTTCCCAGAAACCCCTATTCACTACCCTCACTTGGTGAGGGTACTTCAACAAAATCGAGGGGGGAATGTAGGCTCTTAACTCAGACTGGCAGATAAAAGGTATTAAACTAGGAGAATCTAAAAACATCAACTTTACGCAGACTTTATGATCTTGAGGCAACGCTCAGTTACTCGTTCCCATGGGACAGCACCTTCTGAAGTCACGCCAACACACTGTGAACTGAAATTCCACATCGAAGGCCGGTGAAAGTGGGAATGTTGTAGAACTATGGGTTTCAGATTAGTCATTTAAAAGGTGAGGAATAAATGATCCTGGTTGGCCCATAGATGACCTACAAATTCGAATTCAATAAACATTTGACTTTCAAACGAACTTTAATAGTCCTTATATTGTGTTAATTTGGCTGTAAATAAGTATCCCATTTTGTTACATTAAACGACTTCTACCTTCTTAATTTCTATTCCATCTTTCGATGTACATTTACTACTGTGGTATTGAATCGATTCTCAATAGTGAAGAGCACTGTACTTGGATTAAACATCTTTCCAGTGCTCTTTGGTTTTCATTGCCACTCCAACTAGAAACAGTTTATAATGAATTTAACCCAAAATAATAAAGATGATTCCCACAAAAACTCCTTAACTAAAATATATTAACTATGGTCAGTCAATACTAATTATGTTATTAGGAAACGGTGACCAGTTATAATAAAATTAATAAAAATGTAAACCACTGGAATAATTTCTTGAAGACAATTAAATTATCTTATCCTTTACATATTGGAAAAATAAGGGATGAATAGCTTAACGACACACTATTGTTATTACATATAAAACATTCCAGTTTAATGATAATACATTCATTAATAAATGGTAGAGATCAACGGAACTACATTATCAGGCGAGACTCTAATTTATGGACGACCTTCGAACCAATCTTAAGCGAACTTGAGAAATATTAGCCAATCAGTAAACAGTCAGTATAGAGTAAAAAGATGTTATACAAAACCAAGGAAGTAAAGTGGATACACTTCTTATACGTGGTTCAAAATCTTGTCAAGGTTAGAAAGGGGTTCAGAGGTTCTAAAATCGTAATGCATGCAGTAGAGAAAATCATCCATATGTCTACGGAACAGTCGGTCTCTGGAGCCATGATAAGGTCGGAAAAATTCTTTTAGCCTCGATCACATAGCTTCAATATTGTTTGTGTGCACTCCGGTTGTTGAGTCCACAAAATGCTACTTGTAGATAATGACACGATGCACATAACCAAGCCTATGTATGAGTCTGTACGCTTTCCAAACATCCATATATATTGTAATACCTGTCTGCAGCCAGTGTTACTGGTGCTTTTATTATCCGGTTCGCAATAATTGTCATAATAATCTGAGATCTATTATCTTATACCTGATTGATTCGTCCACAAATTATAGTCTCGCCATTTTATTTGTTATAGCCGCTTAATTATCACGTCCATAAATTAGAGTCTCGCCTGTTATCATTCCATATTTAAATATAAAATCTATTAAACAATGAATCATAAAGACCGAATGGACAAACAAATAAAGATGACTTACTTCACCGAAATATTTCAATGCCATTTCTGACAGAATTTGATTGAAAAACATTTTATCTTCTTGATTAATTAATCGATCATGAAATACTCGTTGAGCTTCATGATAGAATAATCGACTTATTGATTGTTTATTACGAATAACACTTACATCACCTTGTAAAACGCCTGTCAAATTAAATATAATAATGATAGATGAATTCAGTATATTAATTATAGTTGAGATCATGAGTCAATTGAAACTAGATCACCACGGACTCATGATCTCAACTATTAAAATGACTATAATATCCATAAAACCCCTTCTGATACTAATTACGATTACTTCAATTCAGGCGTCATCTGTAGTGATAGTGTAATAAACAAAAAATATAGGTGGGGGACAATCAATAATATTTTAATATAAAATTAAAGACTTATTTCATCAAATACGAAAAACCATAAGTTCAGTTATTATTATTTTAACACATAGATATTGGTATAAGGAGGCATCAAATACATGTGTGCCACACAAATCTCATTTGATATGTGTGAGGGCTGTGATACTGCCCGGGTGCCCAAACCGAAGCAGGTGGTTTTCTTAGGGGGCCACTCCCCGAGCCTTCGAACTGAAGGCCTGATCCACAAGGTAGTAGAGCATCGTAAGGAGATGCAGTCTCATGGAAGCCAGTGACCAATAATTGGTTCATACACCATTTGTTCCTTTAGGATACTGGAGCCCATGTGCACCATTGGTTTGGAATCCGGTTAAAGCGCCTGACATTCGCTTTTCGTTCTCTCATTTTCTTAAATAACAATAATGTCACGAGAAGGCAGTGATTAAGACTTTCCCGACAGAGGCTATATACGCGTGGTCATGTGAGAGCATTTGGAGAGGGAGAGCGATCTCTCCCCACTCTCGGCCATACCAGGGCATTTGGGGGCTTACGTTCAGTACTTCATTTACAAATTCATCATCAAATGTTTTTAAATTCATCGTTCCTTCATTGTCATAACAATGATTCTCTGTTCCCGTTATCTTCGATTTGATCATCTTAACTTTCTGTTGACAGGTATTTCACTTTCGATTGATGTTACATACTACTTATATCGACAGATATAAGTAGCATACATCACAATATCAATGTTGATATCACTTGGTGGGAAAGGTTATGTTATATTTTATGCTCTAATAGTAATATCGTAGTGAACGAGAACGAAAAGTACTTGAATACAAAATTATGGAATCTGCTAGTAAAATCTGAGAATCATACAGTAATACTTCATTTTCAAAATATCTATCAATTGTTTCATACTTTATTGTTCCTTCATTTCCATACCAATCATTCTCTGTTCTCGTTCTCTTCTCTTCGATCTTCTCAACCTTTTGCCACTAGGCATTCCACATACTATTAGTGATACTTACTACTTATATCTGTCGACATCAGTAATACACACCACAGTGCTAATTATTATAACAGTTCAGTAGATTATAAAGCATACTCAAATGATGACCAAAGAGATTGAACTGATAATCTGATCATTGAATCGATTTTACAAATCTCAAATGCCAAACAGATTACATAAGACAAGACTCTCTAGTAGAGAGTTTGTATGTTAAACTAAATGTTATGTAAGGTGGTGACCTCATATAGCTATAACGTTGTTAATGAGAACAGCATGACACATTTTACTTCGTTATTGGTCAGTCGGAATATAGCATACAAAACATGAATAATTTGTTACAGTAAATCACAAAGTCCCAGGACAGAGTTGAATGGCGAATGCTGGTGAACGGCCTATGTTCCTTCACGAGGAGTAACAGGAGTAAGTAAGTAAGTAAAATCACAAAGTATTACAATGTTTTAATCTTAGTTTTTTTAATATTTTTCATGAAAACCTCATTAACCCCCCTCTCTTCTACATGATCGTGTCAACTCTGTTAACTGATGCACTGCTTCAAACATTTTATCGTAATGTATTTCTGTTAGACTAGAAAGGTAAACTCATAGAACCTCACGTGGAATTGAGTTTGTTCTCATTTAACTCAATTAAGCCCTTTTGTTAACTTATTTAGCGGACATAGTCATCCGTACTATAACAACTTATTGTACCTTTACTACTATTGTGCTTGTATGAAATATGTATGCTTGAACATAGCTTGCCGCCTACGCATATATTCATTTTGCTAGCTCTGTTATTAACTGCTTAGTTGATTCGATTATCTATTCATTTCGCTATATATATATATGTACATTTAACACACTATACTCTCGGTTCGCTGATTCACTCATTTTCCCCTCTACTCTGTGGTCTGAGTTATCTGCTAATAAAACTGTAGTCGCTGCTTCTCTTTGCCTTCTGATTTCAAACAGCGTTGACGACTATATGATAACGGTTACGAGAGTGATTGGTCAACGGAGCACAGCCACTACAAACTTTCAATAGGCAACACTGATAGTAAATGGTACGAAAAGATGTTTATTTCATGAAATTCACTGATAATTATTGAGTAGTATGTTATTGCTTATTTATTCAGGAAAGAAAACACATAGATTTTTAGTGTCTGTTCACCTAATCAATTTCTTAGTCAAATAACTATAAGGTTCAAAATTATGATTATTGAGCATAAAGAACACAGATTCGGATATTGTATTTTGACAGAATCAACTTTTAAACTCCCCCTGGAGCCCCTCTAGGGCTACTGCCTGTCCAAAGCCCGGATAAAGAAGGAGGATTGGACATGGGGTTAGCGACCTCATTCTGTAGAAAACTAACTTGCTAAAAAAACGCCATTTAGAAAAAAATATTCGAACTATCTATACTCTGCCCTGGGAGTTAGAAGGTCATAATTTAGAAGAGTTATGACGCCTTATGGTGAAAGCCGAATTCCTTCGGAAGTCATGAGGCTAATGCCCCTTCGTATAACCAGAGCAACCATTTATTTATGTACATGGAATGCTCGTACAATGTGGGAGACCGGGAGAGTCTTCCAAATTATTGTTGCTGCAGCTTTTAAAACTTGTAAATATACTTCTTTTCAGATGTAATTGAATATCTACTCATTTCCTTACCTTGAATACATTTTGACAAATCTCTTAAATTGAATACATAATGAGATTTAGTTGGGGTAGGTAATAGTTCCTTGGCCATTCTAGAATATATTTCAACAGCGGCATTAACAATTGAATCACCAACAGTACGGACACCTTGAGGAAATTCAAGTAGATAACCCTGAGAAGAAAAAAAAGTTACAAAAGTAATTCAATGAAAATTCATGTATTCATACATGAAATTAAGTCACCATCATGTTACTTGAACTAATATAAATGAAACTTAGTTTTTGTTTTTGAAAATCCGCCACTTAAATTATCAGTTAATCACTATGACATTCAAACCAGTTATCGAAGATGTTAGAGGAGAATAAATCCTACCTCAATCAGTCAGTCAGTTAGCTACGACGTAGGACCAGGCACATATATACATCGGTTCAATTTGCCATACCTCATTAGCACAGTAAGATGAACACCGGGTCCATAGAAGCAGTTAACTCAATGGTGGTAATATATAAAAGATTTCATATAAGGACATAGTACAGGAAGAAAGAATTGTTTCGTAGAATGATATATATGAAGCGATTTTAATATCATAGTGTAGATGAAGATAAAGTGTGTATACACCTATGCCATGGTGATCGATTCCAAACCATGTCTCCACGGTATCCAAACATTGTTTATGATAGTAGTGGTGGTCCCCAACCAAGTAGTCTGGATCGACCAACATGGCTAAGACTACCTATGTGAGATTAATAATAAAACTCTTATTTGCTTCTTACAGTCAGGCATCAAAAGTTACTTTTTTAATGTTAAGATGAATATCTTTATACTTTAAGTTTTAATTTCTAATGTTAGTCTGAATAATGATAATCTGGATAATTGACTATGTGACTAAATCAATAAGTACAAGTTAGTCAACTGTTTTACCACTGTTATGTTATACTCGACGATTGATGTACTGGCAACTGATATTATAGTTTACCTCTTTAATTGTTGTTTATTTATTAACAAGAATACGTATGCCATAGGTATATTAGAACCTTCAACTAATATATAGAAACTACAAAATAGTAGTTATTTACTTACGCCTGCTACTCCCAATGCAGCGTAGGCTGCCGATACGCATTCTACAACCCACTCTGTCCTAGGCCTTACTTTTTGGTTCTATCTCATCGGTGTTCAATCTTCTCATATCTCTCTCCATTTCTCTGTGTAATGTGTTCTTTCGTCTTACTCTCCCCCTTTCTCCTTGAGGATTTCAAGTGATCAGGGCTTGCCTTGTGACACACGCAGTTGGGTGCTTTCCTCGATGTGTGTACTATTCACTTCTAGCGATTCTTCTTGAGTTCTTCCTCCACTGGAATCTGGTTTGTTCTCTCACACAGTTAGTTGTTGCTGATTGTGTTTGGTCAGCGGATCCGAAGTATTTTGTGTAGACAATTGTTAATAAACACTTGTATGTTCTGGATGATGGTTTTCGTAGTTGTCCAAGTTTCCACTTCATACAATAGAACTGTGTTGACATTTGTATTAAAAATGCTGATTTTGATGTTGGCTGACAGATAGTTGTATTGATTTTCAAATGTTGTAAGTATTGTAAATATACTGCTTTTACTTTGCTCATCCATGCCTTCACATCTGCATCAGATCCATCATGTTCATCAATGATGCTGACCAGATATGTAAATGTTTCTACATCTTCCAAGGATTCTTCGTCAAGTGTTATTCGACTGTTGTATGCTCTGCTACATCGATGAATTTTGCTTTTCCTTTTGTGTGTGTTTAGACCTACTGCTTCTCAGGTTGCTGCTACACTTGTCGTATTCTCCTGCACTTGTTGTTGAGTGTGTGGTAGAGGACACAGATCATCTTCAAAGTCTGGATCATCCAGTTTCATCCCGTGCTTTCCACAGATGTTGACGTCTTCATGATCCAGTCGATCTCCAGGGGAAGGAGAAAGGGTGAGAGTAAGCAACCTTGTCTGACACCTATCTTTACTTAAAACGAGTCTATCAATTGTTCTCCATGCAAGATGTTGCAGTTTAATCCATACTAAGAATTTCGTATGATGTTGATTATCTTCTTGGGCACGCCGTAGTGTCAAAGTAGCCTCCATACTGTTGTCCTGTCCGCATTAGCAAATGATTTCTCGTAGTCAATGAAGTTGATTTAGAGTGATCAATTCCATTCAATTGATTGTTGCACAATGATCCACAATGTTGTGATTTGATCTGTACACGATCGATCCTTACGGAATCCAGCCTGTTGGTCTCGATGTTGGACGTCTACGGAGTGTAACCACAAAATATTGAATAACTGAACTGAATTCATTTAACTTCCAAGCAATAACTACATAAATTTCGATCAATCGTTAATTATCATTTCAGAAAGAAGAAAGTGAAGATGAGTTAGTTTATGGGAATTCACTTATAGCTTACTATATATTTTAATATATAAATGAATATTCAACAATGTTCAGAATAAAAAAAAGACTGATAAATTGTAATGAAAAGTGATTGTGTAAAAGAAATGGTGGCGAGACTCTAATTTATGGACGACCTTTGAACGAATCTTAAGTGAACTTGAGAAATATTAGGCAATCGGCAAACAGTCAGTATAGAGTAAAAATATATTATACAAAACCAAGGAAATAAAGTGGATACACTTCTTATACGTGGTTCAAAACCTTGTCAAGGTTAGAAAGGGGTTCAGAGTTTCTAAAATCGTAATGCATGCAGTAGAGGAAATCATTCATACAGCTACAGAATAGTCGACCTCTGGAGCCATGATAAAGTCTCAAAATCTCTTTCAGAATCGACCACATAACTTCAATATTATTTATGTGCACTCCGGTTGTTGAGTGCGGAAAATGCTCCCTGTAGATAATGACACGATGCACATAAGCAAGCCTATGTAGGAGTCTGTACTCTCTCCAATCATTCGTATATATTGTAGTACCTGTCTGCAGCCAGTGTTACTGGTGCTTTTATTATCCGGTTCGCAAAAATTGTCATAATTTACCTTAATTATGAATTATATATGTGGTTTTCATCACGAACTGACATCAGCTATAATGCCAGAAATTTATTCAGCCAAATGGATGAAACACTTTCGCGTTAAAATCCGAGATCTATTATCTTATACCTGATTGATTCGTCTAGAAATTATAGTCTCGCCATTTTATTTGTTATAGTCGCTCAATTATCATGTTTTATACAAAATTCCCTGTGAACCGATTGTACGTTAGCACTAAGCACTGAAGTTGGCACCGTAACCTTGGAATCTCTCACACGTTTTTAATTGGCTCGTCTATAAATTAAAGTCTCGCCAAAAATGGTTATTTAAAAATAACATTATTTACATTTATAATTGAAGAAAATATTTGTTTTAAACTCATTTCTGATGGTGAAGGTATAACAAATAATGCAAAATGTCTTATTAATCTTGAAGTGATTGGATTTCTTCCACCACCTGGTGGACCACATGCTGCACATAATATCATATCTTTAATATTAATCCATTCTAATTTATCTCTATCATAGAAACCATGATAATCTTGATATTGTCGTAATAATTCAATAGGTGGTTGACTTCCATATTGATCTTGTTTTGGCATATTTAAATCATCAATAAATAATATAATCTGTTTATTATTAGGTGCACCAAATAGATACTTTTTTTTCTTTTCTAATTTACTTTCAATAATTTCTTGAGTACGATTACTTGTTGTTTGAGCAGAGAAATTGATATAAGCTGGTATATAATTATTTGTTTCAGCGATATTATTCAATGTTCCACGAATTATAACTGACTATATTTCAAAATAAGAAAATAAAAAGTAGTTCAATATATTGATTATTCATCATTTCTATGATATAGAATGAATATAAAATTAGGTTACTTAACAACACACATTCACACTAACATTGGGAATCGAACTTGCAGACCTATCGGGTCACATAGAGAAGTCACTGTTTTCCAATTAATATGTTACACATTTCCAAACAATCAATTTGTCCAGTATTTTATGAGTCAATGAGTTATAATGTAGGACTAGGCACATGTATGTGCATTGGCTCAAGTTACCATACCTCATTAGCACAATAAGCTGAACATCAAATTCATAGAAGTAGTTACTTCAATGATAGTATTATATAAAAGAAAGTTTGCATATAAGGAAGGAGATTTTAATCTCTTAGTTTAAGGGAAGAAAGTGAGTGCACACATCTGCGCCATTGTGATTGATTCTGAACCATATCACCCACAGTCTCCAATTATTGCTTACGATAGTTACGGCGGCCTCCAACTAAGTAGTTTGCATCTACCAACATGGCTAAGACTAGAAGTTTGTGACTTTGTGAACTGATGTCACGTTTTGGTTTGACCACCCCTAACTTTCTTCCAGCTGTCTCCAACACTAGTCAGCATTGCACATCGTGGTGATCAATGTTCAGTCATACGTAACACGTGGCCCAAACATCTCATTTGATGAAGATGCACAACGTCATCAACTGATTTACCATCATTTTCTAATACCCTGCGTCTATCTTTACTATTACCTACCCGATGATCTCAGCAGATGCCAGCGATATTTCTAAGGCATCTGTGGTCAAATACTAGTAGCTGACGAGTATCCACTGCTTTTAATGACCACGCTTCACAACCGTTAATAAAAAGGGAACGAACCGCTGCTCAATATACTCGTCCTTTAATTGATAGACTGATATCTCGCCTTCCTCATAAGTGACGTAAATTGGCAAAAGCCGAACGAGCTTTCTGCATCCGTGCTCAGATTTCGTCACACACCAACCCATTCGCGCTTATCAGACTCCCAACATAAGTGAAGTTATCGACACGTTCGACTACTTCCCTTCCTATATTTAATTCAGGTGTTGACGTTGGCCAGTCTTGAAGCTATAACTTGCATTTAGACGGGGAGAAGTGGATCCCAAACATTCTGTTATTGTTACTCAGTGCTATCCAAAGAATCTGTATTTCATCAAATACCAGTGATTTAGAAAAAGGTGATAACAAGTGATACCATTATTATTATTACTGCAGTGATTAAAAACTCATTTATGGGAAACAATGTATTGTTTTATACAAAATTAAATAGTAACTTTGTAAAATATAAAAGTTATTCACTAAATACATCATTGTTCAGTTGTCCTTTACATAATTCATCATTTTTTCAATCCTATTGTGATTCCGATTGCTCTTCTTTCTTTTCCCATTCTCTTTATTTCACTCTTCTACTGGTAAGCATTCTACTTTCAATTTCTACCATATACTACTCATGTTTGTCCACATAAGTAGTGTAAACACGTTATTACCAATAACAATATAATATTAATAATAATAATAATAATAATAATAATAATAATAATAATAATAATAATCATACTTTCCCAACTCCAGTTAAACCAGTAAACAGTACACTTTGATTTACAGCTAATAGTTTATCTAACATGTATCCATATCTGATTGTATCTATAGTTGGTACAATCATATCAAAAAATGGTATTTGTTTATTATAAATAAATGTATTAAGCAATTTATCCCAATTATCCATACGACGTGTATCCATGTCAACAAAGCAGGACCATAAATCAGAATGTTGAGGAAGCTAAAATAAAATAATGAAGTATACATTATTAATGAATGATATTTTCAAATTAAGACTCATTAACATAGATTATTTGATTGTTAATACTTATTAGTAAGGTGTATTTGGAAAATTGAAGGGAGAGATGTTTCTTGCGGAATTCAAAATAAGGTTCCATAATTCTAAAAAAGTTATCATTGAGCTATTCTGATTGTTGTGACTTTATGCTCGGCTTTTTATCACTTGATTTATCCACTAATCAAAATACGCCTTATACAATCTTCATACTGTACTAAACCAATGATTGACCGGTATGAGCAGCCTAGCGTCCTCATTGATCCTATGTCCGCCTAGCTCGTCCACTTGAGTTCAGAACACAAATACCAGATTCCACTATACGAATCGAATCATTTATTTCAGACATACTGGGTTTATAATATCAATCAAACAGACCGCAACGCACCATAAAATAGGAAATAACATTTATACACAATGAAGCCAAAAAGTGGTTGTGAACGTGGGGGACAGTAATTAATAGACTGAGCATAGCTTAAGAATCGTAAATCGTACAATAATAATATATAGGTCAAAATAAAGCTTATAACAAGGGGAATATAGATATACATAATCTAATTATTGAATAGTTATACCAAAAGAATAGATAGATAATATTAGTCAATTAATATGTCTCAGAAGTTACTCGTGATTTAATCTTCGCTCGGATACAACACCGATAGTAACTGACCTCCTGTAAGACTGAAATATTTACAATTGACTGATCATTGAGTAGCGACCGATTTATTGTGTATCTATGACCTATGTAATTTTCAGGTTGAATGTAAAATCCTATCTATGGAGTACTATACTACTTTATAGGTTAAGACCAATCAACTTTTAACCGCTAGTTGGGAGTTTCAAATCAGAATCTAATTGATTCAGTTTTACTCACTAAACCTTCACCAAATTAGTATATTTCAAAAATGAGTGATCTTTTTAAAATCGTTTTCATTTATGTATGTGTATTTAAGCGTTGTTTTGTCATTTCTGTTCTCAGGTTTGAAATCTATTGTCAATTAGTGTCATCAATCGAATTCACCTGAAGAAATGGTGAAGTGAACCAACAAGGATTCTATAGAAGTTTCTTACTAGTATGTAACTTGGTGAGAATGCACACTTGAAACCGAAGTAATTAAGAACCAGTTTCGAAAATGAAAATTTTAGATCATTGAATCATCAGTTTACAGAGGTTCGTTTTTTAGACTTTGACTATTTAGTATGTAGTTCTATTCTCATTCGAAGTCAAGTTTCAATTATGTTTGAAAGAATATCGTCTTATTTGGGACTCGTCATTTGGATGTTCCTTCATCTTAGAGTTGCTGTTCACTGTGGTACTCGAACCGAATACCATTCGCTACAAACGCCATCGTATTACCTACTTAGCTACCGAGTCTTGATAGCTACTTTCTTGTGCAATGAGGTGAAGTTTTAAATGCGAGTGATATCGTTTACTTATTTGCGTATATAGCTTGTAAACTAAGGCAGATGGAGGCAGTCTGCGCAGGATACACATATATCAATCGCTGATCAATCGCTGTCCTAAATAACAATGGGAAGATATAAGTAAACAACATTAAAAGATTTTTAGATACTTTGGGTAAAGTTGAACACTCAATACCTTCTCATTATTGAAAAATGAAGTTATATAATCTAAATATTTTCATCAACTACCATTTGCCTACATAAATTAATAAATAGCGATTTCAAATAAATCCACACTAAAGTAAGTTTTGTTGCAAAGTATGTTTCAGTTATGAACTGATATCAATACGAGAATCATTGAGCATCAGAGAGCATATTATGCACTATTTTGCGGATCCTTTAGCAGTATGAATCAATGTCTTCCTTAAGATAGAATCTAGGGTCCTAAGGTCTAGCAATCTGTACATCATTTAAGGATCATAAGTTGGGAATTATTCATATTTCTAACTTCAATCAACTACCGATTTCAGTCAGTTTTTACTAACCCTCAACCTCCTACTTCTTTGAATGAAGGTATTGAAATAAATATAAAAACTTCATAAACCTGTAGTGTTGCTTATTATATAAACCCCATTCTAGCTTCTGAACAGGCAAATTTATCCATTCTTCTTGAGTCACATTTTGACTTTATCAACTTTGACTGTTTCCATGTAAACGTATGTGTGTAAACTTCTTATCCTATTCATCATATGTCTGTAACTTCTTTTTTTTTATGACTATAAATGGAGTTGGTTCACGAACCTTCTCTACTGCGCGTCATTTCGCTTTGCTCTTTTCTATTCACTTCATCCCTATGATTTCCTGTCCAGATCAGTGAGTGTACAAAATATACACATTTAGGAATTCATTCTCGTATTTCACTTTATTTAGCTCCGTTATTTACTAACATGAGTTAAATCGATGATAATAAACGAGGATTGACGATATGTATATCTGAATTAGAAATCAGAAACAATCAAAACTGGAATCAGATCCTGTGCTCACTTAAAACCAACTCATTCACATATAAATCAATAAAACAAAAGGAAACTTACTCTTGCATCACCTAAATCATCAAATAAATTACGAATAAATGCATCACATTTATCCCAATTTGTATCAATTAAACTACCGGCTAATCCCCATAATAATGAAAATACAAATGACATAGCTAATAATGGATTTAATTTATTTTTATCTTCATTCATTGATGGACAATTTGAATGAGTTAATAGAACTTCTAATAATTTACACATTGTTTGTATTCTTGCAATAGGTACCTATGAATTGAAATATTAAATGTAAACTAATGAATGAATGTATATAAATGAACATGTATAAAATGATCTTTCATCAAATGTTTCAGTCAGTCAGTCAGTAACAACATAGAACTTCGTGTGTACGTACATCAGTTCGAGTTGCCACACCACATTAGCACAGAGATGCAGTTGTCGATTTAAATCCCGTTGTGGTAGAGTTAGTAAGAGTATAAGCAATAATCGGAAACATTAGGGCCTGAAGATGTTATTCAAAGATTATAATCCAGTCAAATAAAGTTGCAAAGAGAAAAAAATAAAGGGACATGAAGAATTCAGAAGATTAGAATTTGGGAGAACACAAAGAGTGTATGCACCTGCGCACACCATTGCAAACGATTTCGTGCCATGTCATTCAAAGTCTCTAACCATCGGTTGCTATCATCTCGCGGTCCCCAACGAGGTAGTCTACACCTACCAACACGGCTCAGTCTACTTGTCAGTGACTTCATGGACTTGTGCCATGTTTTGTTCTGGCCACCCCTAGCTTTCTTACAATTTACTCCTATACCATTGAACATCTCACGTCAAGGCAGTCGGTGGTTGGGTATACGTAACACATGTCCCAGCCATCTCAACTGATAAAGTTTCACTGCTTCATCAATTCATTTGCTATCCTTACCTAGTACCCGTTTCTTAACAACTCCATTGCTTATTCGGTGGTCCCAGGATATACGAGCAATATTTCGAAGACACCTATGATCAAATACTAGTAACCTACGAATATCCTCTACTCTTACCGGCTATGTTTTAAATGTTTACTACCTGGAGAGAATATATGAGAAACTTACTTACACCTGTTACCCCTCATGGAGGAGCATAGGCTGCCTACTAGCGCTCTCCATCCAACTCTGTCCTAAGCAATCCTTTTCAGATCTTTCCAGTTGTGATTCCTCCTTTTCATATCTGATTCTATTTCCCGACATAATGTATTCTTTAGCCTTCCACTTTTCTGCTTAGCTTCACGATTCCAAGTTAGTGTATGCTTCGTGATGAAGTTTGATGATTTCCATAATGTATGTTCTATCTATTTCCATCGTCTTTTCCTAATTTCCTCCTCAGATGGAAGCTAGTTTGTCCTTTCCTACAGTTGGCTGTTGCTGATGGTATCTGGTCAACAGATATTCAGTATCTTGCGTAGACAACTATGTATAAATACTTATACCTTCTTGATGTTGGTTGAGGTAGTCCTCCAAGTTTCAGCTCCGTACAGCAAAACTGAAGATCCTCACTTTGATATTGGTTTGCAGACAGTTGTTTTGAGTTCCATTTGTTTTTCATTTGTAGGAATGAGTGTAGGGGAAAGTAGTTGAAATAATTGTGGTATCAATGAAAGATGTTCAGTTTGTTTTTCTTTTCATTCCATTACTTTTGAGCCTGTTATATTACTTATTAATATCAAGGTTCGACCCCATATTTTGCTTATTTTCTGTTTATCATTTATATTTAAGTTTAGCATACATTATGAATATCACCAAACTGCATCATTAGACAAGCCCTTACTTGCAATCGTGAAAGGGAACGGAAAAGTGGAAGACCAAATAATATACTGCTTTGAGTATTTGAAGCAGACATGAAAAGGAACATTAGCAACTGGAAAAAAACTGGGAAGGATTGTTTAGGACAGAGTTGGATGGCGAATACTGGTGGTTAGTTTATGATCCTTCATTCGGGGTAATAGGCGTAAGTCAGTAAGTAAGCTTTTTTAAAATTATAGCTAAATGCTGTCGAGCCAAGTAACGGTCGAGCATCTGTAACACAAGCCTCAACTAACTTAAACGATATAACTTTATAATTATTGTTATAATTCACTTTTAAGTTTTATCTTAATGATGTGTATATTCGCTTTGGTTAAAATGGAATTATTTGTCTGTTTTCTTTTAATCTATACATGTTCTGACAAGTTCGATTTTCATCCACCATCCAGTGTACCAGAACTGTACAAATATGCTGTACCTTTGGGGGATAGAAGAAGAAATGTATGTTTGATATAAGAGTAGAATCCAATTAAGTAACACATCTTAATAACCATAAAATCCACTTTCATGATCTGCCACCAATTTTTCTAGTTTATCTAATATCATAAAATGAAACAAATACTTGGTACAAAAAGTTTGTGAACGTGCATTGAGTAGTCTCATGTTAAGAAATAACAGCCATCCAGTAATTACTAGTTTTTAGTGGATGTCTAACTAAGGACATTCCATGATGTGAACCATGAGATTCAACACTATTCACAAACCTCCTATTACTAAAAACAGTCACGTATTTACGAATGAATAACTTCGAATTGCTGTTCTTGAAATTCTAGTGTAAAGCAGTGACTAGTGGAGTCCGAACATATCAATTAGTTACCCACGAATGGCATTGTAAGATGGTTTCTTAGTATCACATATTGATGGAAGTTAGAAATTTAAACTAATGGTCGCCGAATCAGTGGTTAAAGGGTTAAACACCCGATGAGAGATCTGAAGTTCCTGAGTTTGTTCTTCTATAGGGTTGTAGGTATGCAATAACAGAGAAGTTTCGTAGTAAAATGTAACTATGTCCAGATCTTCCTTGTTTTCATTGGTTGTCTGGGTAAGTTCAGTCAGTTACGTTAAATACACAAAACTCTACTGTTATGACTGAGTCTGATATTAATATACAAAACCTCCTATATCCAAGCCCCCAACCGACTACTATAAGAAGACTAAGAGCGAAGACGAAAGTTTGTTGGTTTTATCCGAATCAAATTGTTGTAGAGATTCAGAAAATTCCTCGAAAAATTGAAAAAAGGCTCTGAAAACACTGAGAAACACTGTACAATCAGCATTCAATAGAAGTTTTGCCAGAAAAATCTAGAAAGTGAAAAGTCACATGTTGAGTTTCTGATTGGATGATTGCCTATACTGCTACTATGTTTAATAGCATTCCAGAACTTTCCGGAAACTCAAGGCTATCTAAAATACTATAAAAACCCTAGATTTTCTGTACATAAATGAACCTTTTCGGAGTAAAGCGTTTCTTCGATATTTCATGCCTTTTCTCTTGTGTTCAAATCTTTGAGTAGATTTAGCCTATGGGTTATTAGAAGAGCTTAGGAAATCGAATCAATCGTTCAATTAGCAAAACTTAACACAAATGAATAAGAGCTCCTTAGAAAATGACCAATAACATGCATTTATCAATAAGGAGATATTCAATTGGCATAATATAACTATCTCATTTGATAACTTTCAATGAGTGCACTGATTTATTACACACAAGTCATTATCTTAATTTGAAAATCTTCAAACTACCATTATATAATGGAAACTATTAATGTGAAGATGAACACTTACTTGTGGAATGATTGTTGTACATTTAGTCATTACAAAATTCATAAAAGGATCTACATATTTTATAAAAAGATTCATAATATATTCGATTACATATGGGGTTAATTTTTCTTCAATTGTTTTAATCCATGTCTAAAATGAATAAGAATATCTTTGTTTATTATATATACATTAAAAATAGAAATAAATGATATTGTATAATGACTAAAGAACATATTATTACCGAGAAATGGAGACAGATATGTGAAGAATGAACAACAATTGGATAGAACTAGAAAGAAAGGACAAGGACAGAGTGGACTGAGGAATGCTAGTCGGTGACCTATGCTCCATTAAGAGTAACAGGTGTAAGTAAGTAATTAATTAAATGATAATGGAATAATTAGACAAAGCATCAATCGGAAGTACATAAACCTTGTAAAGGATTTCTACTCGAACACTACTAGTCAATTCAGAGCTTATGACGAACTGTCATCTGCTTTTGCAAACTTAAGTGGTGTCCTGCAAGGCTGTTCATTTTCTCCATTTTTGTTCGACTTCATCATGGACTTACTGATGGAAATAGCGTTCTCGTCGACTGAATTTTCGGGCATTGATCTCCTACAAAAAGGTTCACTTATCGACTTAGAATACGCAGATGACATAGTCCTATTTGGTGAAGACGCTGATAAAATGCAGAGTCTTTTGGTAGCACTGAGTAACAATACCATAATGTTTGGGATCCACTTCTCCCCCTCTAAATACAAGTTGTTGCTTCAAGACTGGCCAGCGTCAACACCTGAACTAAGGATAAGGAGTGAAGTAGTCGAACGTGTCGATAGCTTCACTTATGTTGGGAGTCTGATCAGCGCAACTGGGTTGGTGTATGACGAAATCTGAGCACGGATGCAGAAAGCTCGTCCGGCTTATGCCAATTTGCGTCACTTATGAGGAAGGTGAGATATTCGTTTATTAATTAATGGACGAATATACTGCGCGGTAGTTCGTTATGTTTTACTTTTCGACTGCGAAACGTGGCCATTAAGAATTGCGTTCCGTGTGGCTATCGTAACCAATGGATGTAGACTGTGGGTGGTATGGCTGAGAATTGATCGACCACAATGGCGTCGGTGTATACACTCCCTGTCTTCCCTTAAACCATGAGATTAAAATCACTTCATATCTTTCTTTCTACGGGTTAATTCTTTCCTCCTGTACTATTATATGCAAACTTTTTTTATATTATTATCATTGAAGTAACTACTTCTATGAATTTGATGTTCACCTTGTTGTGTTATGAGGTATGGTAACTTGGACTGACGTACATATGTGCCTGGTTGTAAATTGCAGCTGACTGACTGACCAATCAATATTCTTTTATAAACAAACTTAATCAAAATGATCATTTCAATTAGATAATCTCTTTAGTTTAATGAAATAGTGATTATTACAGAATGTAAGCTATTTGTCTAATAAGAGCTCAAGTTTACTGTAAGGAGTAAGATGTAATCAGGCGAAACAATGGATAGAATTTTCAAGAATATTCATCATGATAAAGCTTGATGTTTTTTCTAGGCTATCCAATATATACACGTGTTGAAATCTCTTTCCAAAATACTTCATATTTGTAATGATAGACTTTTTGTTTATAGTACCCATTAATATCCTCGAAAGTCAGACTTTTCAGTAACTTGTTGTCTTTAAATCATTCTAGTCTCTTCCTTTTTATCATACTTTCCATTATAAGAATAAAATATAATCTTCATAAACTATTTATGATGAGAAAGTTGACTGATCAAATGTAGGGATCAAATTAAACGTCAGAAATCCAGGGACAGCTACTGTTTTATTTTAAGAAACATTGTCATGAAACAGCAGTTACTTATCATTGTCAACGTCATCATCATTATGATAAGTAAACCGTTATCGCATGCAAAGTATCCAAAGAATCTTCATAAGAATTTCCATTCATTATTTTTCTTTCAAGAAGCAATTCATGGTGAATGTAAAATTGAAAGAATAAAATAAATTTGATTTTGATTGACACTTTCAATATTTTTAGTTCGTGGATCAAATAATACAGCCGATTGTGTTATATCCCGATGAGAATAATGAATGGTAACTATTGGGATCCATTTATGGATCAATACTATGTGTATGTTTTTATCGTATAATTGTTAATTAATTTAACTATTCATATTTATGTCCCTCTTATTATGAGCCTTATTTTGACCTATGAACTATTATTATACGATTTACCATTCTTGAATTATGTCTGGTCTATTAATTACTATCACCCTTAGATCTCTTGCAAATGTTATTTTTCATTTTATGGTATGATGCGGTCTATCTGGTTTGTATATAAACCCAGTATGTTTGAAATGAATGATTCATATTGCAGAGGTTGAGATTGGTGTTCTGGACTTAACTGGTTGGGCTAGGCAGGATACAGGACCGATAAATACTCTAGACTGCTCGCACGGGATTTTATGTGTCATTTATCTGATCGATAATTCACTGTTCTCTAATTGGCGGTAACATTGCGATATAGATTAACAGGACACACAGGTCACAAGTTATAACAGATTGTGCTTGTTTATTTGAAATATAATCTATGATGTGATCCCCAAAGGAACAAATCGTAGATTATTGATGAATTCACTAATTAGTAACTAGATTTATTCAAAATAAAATGTTAAATATATATTTTACATTAATACAATTAACTTACTTTAACATATGGTAACCAACCTAAATCTTCTGAATCTACATAAACCATACCACAACGACTTACTGTCGCTGGTGATGCAACAGCTAAATCTTGTACTTCAAATAACATATGAACATAATTTGTCAATTTAATACGTTCAGAATTAGCTAGACATAACATTTTGTTATCATCCAATACTGTATTCATGTTTTCAATCCATAATGCATCAACTGGACCATCACATATAACCCATTGATGATCTTGTGTAGGATCCTTCATAGTGGAGTAAATGAAAAAAAAACATTTCAGAAGGGTTTTTAGGGATATTATAGTAATTTCAATGGTTGAGATCATGAGTCAATTAAAGCTAGACCTGAAAGCACTGGACAACCGTTTCGTCCTGTAGTGGGACTCCTCAGCAGTGTTCATCCACGATCCCGCTTCGCGAGAAATATGCTTGCTTTTAAGCTAGTGTATACATGTTTTCCTTTCATATATTCATTTATTGACTAATTATTATTTAGTAGAATACTTTTTATGTTTTAAAAACAGTTTGTGTAACAAATTATGAAAAATACAAATAAGAAAAACAATGACAATCATTATAAGCAGAGATGGACGGTGGCTAGAAGCTGACCAGCCCCCAAATTTATGGTACGGTCGAGGGTGGAAGGAGTTAGCTAGCCCTCTCGAAATGGTCTCACAAGGACACATGCATACAACCACTACCAGGAAATTCCTACTCACTTCCTTCTCGCAGCATTACTGTTGTTTACGAAATTGAGAAGACGAAAAGCGAATGTGCAGCTCTTTAACCGGGTTGGAGGATCCGTCTAAAGGAGTTGGAAAACCCTCATTCCAAACCAATGGTGTACATGGGCTTCATTACCCTGAAGGAAGGAGTGGCGTATGAACCAATTATTGGTCACCGGCAACCATGGGACTGCAACTCCTAACGTTGCTCCACTGTCTTACGGATCAGACCATTAGGTTGAAGGCTTCGGGTGTGGTTCCCTAAGAAAGGTACCTGGGGAGTATCCCCCTCGAATGATTTATTTGACGCATATCAATTCGATGCCTCCTTGTACCAATGTTTATGTAGGTAAATAAGATAAATAGTAGCTGACGAGTCCAAAACAGGACGAAACGCGCGTCAATTTGGATTTCACTGTTATCCATCATCCATCTCTGCTTATAATACTTATGATTTAAGGCAATATCGAGGCAATCCACACAAAATGCATATATACCAATAAGACATTGATCAATTACACTCCTAAATATCAATGGGCAGATTCATCATAAATATTGTTCGATAAATTGTGCAAGAATCTACAACGACCTCGTCATACTTACCACACATGTTTGCCTAACAATAGAAGCTAATAATCCATCATGCCATTCAAATGTTAATTTATTTACTTCACCATATAATTCACCCATCGTTATAGATTTTGGATTTAAAACATACATTTTTACTGGTTGATATTCTGGTTTCTTATCTATTAATTCAGCTACATGTAAATTACTTAAAACTTTAGCTAAAACACGATAAATTGTAGTTTTTCCACCACCAGTTGGTCCAACTAACATTACTCCATGACGTACAATTAATGTTTCATAGAATTGTATTATTTTCAATACTTGTTCAGTAATAATTTGTAAATTCATATCTTGTAATACTGTTTCAATCTCTGCAAGAAATAATCCATAATCATGTTCTGGTAATGTAACACCAGGGAAAAGATCTTGCAGAATTGCCTATAGAAAATAAATAAATATTTGCATATTACTAAAACTATTAACTGTAGTTCAGGATTATTTGATGAGAATAAATAATGAGACTATAATTTATAAATGAATCAATCTTACATACTTACTTACGCCTGTTACTACTAATGGAGCATAGACCGCCGACCAGCATTCTCTAACCCACTCAATCCTGAGCCTTCTTTTCTAGTTCCATCCAATTTTTGTTCATTTTACTCATGTCTATCTCCATTTCCTGGCGTAATGTGTTCTTTGGTCTTCCTCTATTCCTTTGGCCTTGAGGATTCTATGTGAGGGCTTGTCTTGTGACGCAGTTGGGTGCTTTCCTCAATCTATGTCCCCTCCACTTCCAGCGCTTCTTCCTGATTTCTTCCTCCACTGGGATCTAGTTTGTTCTCTCTTACAGTAGGTTTTTGATAATAGTGTCCGGCCAACGGATTCGAATTATTTTTTGTAGACAACTGTTAATAAACACCAGTATCTTCTGGATGATGGTTTTCATAGTTCTCCAGGTTTCCACCTAATACAGTAGAACTGTGTTGACATTAGTATTGAAAATCCTGACCTTGGTGTTGGTCGACAGACAGTTGTTTTGAGTTCCAGATGTTCTTCAGTTGTAAATATGTTGCTCTTGCTTTACAGATCCGCACTTTCACATCTGCATCAGATCCACCATGTTCGTCAATGATGCTGCCCAAATATGTAAAGGTTTTCACATCTTCCGAATCTTCTCCGTCAAGTGTGATTGGATTGGTGTATGCCCTGTTATATCGGAGAATCTTGCATTTCCTTTTGTGTATGTTGAGACCTACTGCTGCTGCTACACTAGTCGTCTTCTTCATTTGTTGTTGCGTTTGCGATAGAAGACCCAGGTCATCAGCGAACTCTAGATCGTCCAACTGCATCCTAGCTGTCCACTGTATCCCGTGCTCCCCTTCAGATGTTGACGTCTTCATGATCCAGTGGATCACCAGGAGGAAGATAATAGTTCATAGTAAGCAACCTTGCCTGACACAGGTCAACTGAATCTATCAGGTATAAGATAATAGATCTTAGGTTTTTGGCACGAAATTCATTCATTCACAATTTGGCTAAATAGAGTTTTGGCATTTTAGTTGATATTAATTAGTGATGAAAACTCTAAATCTAATTCTTAACCATCAATCATAAATCATAATTCTAATTCCTCACACACCGATTTATAACCCTCATTTGATCCTAGTTAATAGGTGAACATTCTCAGGTTATAATCTCACCAAATAAATTAACTTCTAATAATTGAATATATGAGTCGATTTAAGCTAGATCACCATTGAAAACCTGGAAGCAGTGGGCGGTCGTTTCGTCTTATTATGGTACTCTTCAGTAATGTTCATCCATTATCCTTCATGCTGAACTCGACTCCAGGACCATCTGTCTCGTACGTAGTATTTCTGTTGTCATAAATAATTCTTCTAACATCTGTTATCATTTTGTTTTACACTGACTGATAGATTAAATATTTCATAATGAATGTATTGTTTGAGAGTTCTTTTGTTGATCAGTGTTACTTACCATGGTGATTTGATCGAGGTGTATTGTCTAAAAAAATTGTTTCAGATAAGTTGTTTGAAAAACTATAAAACCAATATCAACATATCTACTGAACTGAGAGTCATTAACTGTCTGCTTTAAGTAATTGGTATCACAAGGTGTTCTACCTTATCATAGGAGAAAGGATTGGCTCTAAAATGAGCACACCTCATTTTGCTCCATTCTTAAGGTTAGAGATAAAGTTTAAATAGTAAAGAATTTGTACATCAAGAATAACTCATATGACATGTGTCCTTAATCGACTCTACTGTCACACTTCCTAACCAACAAGAATTTCAATAATAATCAAGTTTTACATTTAAGTTCATTTAAAACACTTTACAAGATGGATACATCTCTAACTGTGTTCAAGATCATCTTGTTCAGAATCAAGGATTTGAGCTAAACCTAGAACAATGTAAACGAATTCTTCATGTTAAAACAATTAAAGATCAATGACATATTGTTCGTTCTAGACTCATCAATCTGTAAAAATTTCACCAGTGGATCAAAATAATTCAACTTACTGTAAATAGGATAGCATCTTGTTTAAGAAATTTCGGTAAATTACTATCTCTTAATGCACGAATTAATACAACATCTTCTGGTTTATCGGGATTTTCACGTTTTAATGAACCAGCCATAACTAATACTGATTTTAATGCTCTCATACCAAAATCATAATGATCTTGTTGTGATAATTGTTCACTGCATAATTTATACATTTGTGTCATTTTTAATGCTAATGTTTTTGATGATTCAAATCCTTCAGAATAAAGTATAACTTCAGCAATAAGACCTATTTATAAATAAAATGAAAGATAACAAAGATGATAGAGAAACAGAGTGAAAGATAGAGAGCAATGAACATTTAAAAAGTTCTTAAGAAAATCCATCAAAAGTTGAGATCATGAGTCGAATGAAACTAGACCGCCATGGAAAGCCTGAAAGCACTGGATGGCCGTTTTGTCCCCGCCTCGCGGGATTCAAACTCAGGAACTAATGGTCTCGCACGCGCGACCACTTAACCACTAAGCTGGCCGGCATCCAACGATGTTAATTTGTAACTTCAACTAATCCACAAATTGACCGACACATCCACCGTTATCATCAGTGAGTTACTATTCCACAACAGACCCTGTCGAACTTCACTGGTCAGTGCTTCTCAAATGTTGAATTCTGTTAATCAAACAATAAGATATCGAAAAAATAATTATTAGCGTGGATCAGAAGATCTAGTGGGTACACTGAAAGAATATAATGATAATAATATTTGCTGTCCTTTGAATCTGTTGATTTCAGTTTCACTGTTCTGACGATCACTGACCGGCTAACAGTACTGTGTGATGATGCCTGATATAATATTGGATTAGCGGATCACCGCAAATACACTTAAGTTGATTCTGTTAACAATTGTTTAACGGAATCCCACTTAGCTCCATCTAGTTATTAAAAAAAAAACTCTATTTCGTATCATTTACTTAGTTAACTGATAAGTTTTGTTTCAACTTCAATTGTTAATTAAAAGACATCGATTGTCATGCTTCTAACATACAATAGAATATTCGTTTATACAAAATAGTTAATGATAATGTCTATGGTAACAAAAATGACTTACGGTAATCGGGTACCATCATAGAAATTGGACGGAATAATGATTTTAAATTATCAGGTAATTCTGTACGTCCAGCATAACCAGGATTCATTGTAATGAAAGCTGCACATGTTGGTACTAATTTAATTTCACGTCCTTCAAACATAAATCTTGCAACCTATGTATTTTAAAAGAAAACTAACTAATCAATTTGATGGCCTAGATAAGTTGTTAGACAAGTTTACTTCATGATTTTATTTAACTCTACCTCCTGTTGTTGAAAGATCGCCTGTTTTAAAATATGACCTAGAGGTTAAGCGTTCGCGCACGAGACCGAAGGCCCTGGGTTTAAATCCCGCGAGGGAGATCGTGAATGAGCACTGCTGAGGAGTTCCACAGTAGGAGGAAATGGACGTCCAGTGCTTCCAGGTTTTCAGTGGTGGTCTAACATCAATTGGTTCATGATGTCAATCAAAATTTTAATAATCTCTACAACCCTATACTGATATTATTTTATTTCAGAAGGAAAGAAGTTCAGAAACAATAATGCATTTCTTAACTGAAATTTAATCAAACTCTGTGAACTAATTATTAATGAGAACTTAGATACTACATGAATAGTAGTATATATGTGCGTGAAACTGAACATAAAATTACTAGTATAGGGGTTGTGGAGATTATTAAGTTTTTTTGATTGAGATCATGAATTGATTGATGTTAGACCACTTTTGGAAACCTGAAATCACTGGACGGTTGTTTTGCCCTATTGTGGAATTCCTCAGCAGTGCGCATTCACGATCCCGCTCGCGTTGTTTGAATCCAGGGCCTTTGGTCTTGTGCGCGAACGCTTAACCTACTGGACCACTGAGCCGGCTTCCAATGGTGATAGTGTTTAACATCAATTGGTTCATGATCTCAATCAAATGAACATAAGATTGTTTGGATACATAATAGATCACCTTCAAAGTTATAGAATATGTGTGTAAATAAACTTTTGACTGATTTATGGAGTTATTAACGTATTGTAGAGATGGTGATTCGGTTGATAAATCTGGCAACGTTCTTTATGATTAAGGTATTTATTATACATTTTCAATATATCCATATTCAGTACGGAAAACAGTAAGATCAAAACATATTATCAATCTTTGAAGTCATTTACTACTGGCTGTGAATGGTATAAGCAGCTGCCAACCATTTGAGTGGGGACAGCAAAATATCCCTTTTAAATGGTTGATGAAATAACCCTGGATCTGAGATGCAAATGAATTCAATCAAAGTTCAAGTTATGTGACTGGATAATTTATACTTAAAATTTGATTACTTTGAAATATCTTGCTATACCATAAAGGGTAAATAAATCTACGCTTTTGTATGTAAATTAAAAATATATAAAATTTGTTTTTAACATGGATACAAACTTGGTCTAAGTTACAGTTGAGATGGCTGAGACATGTGTTACGTATACCCAAACACCGACTGCCTCGACGTGAGATGTTCAATGGTATAGGAGTGGATTTGAAAAAGCTAGGGGTGGCCAGAACAAAACATGGCACAAGTTCATGAAGTCACTGACAAGTAGACTGAGCCGTGTTGGTAGGTGTAGACTACCTGGTTGAGGACCACGAGATGATAGCAACTGATGGTTAGAGACTTTGAATGACATGGCATGAAATCGTTTGCAATGGTGTGCGCAGGTGCATACACTCTTTGTGTTCTCCCAATTTCTAATCTTCTGAATTCTTCACGTCCCTTTCTTTTTTTCTCTTTCCAAATTTAATTCACTGTATTATAATCCTTGAATAACATCTTCAGGTCCTAATGTTTCCGATTATTGCTTATATTCTTACTACCTCTACCACAACGGAATTTAAATCAACAACTGCATCTCTGTGTTAATGTGGTATGGCAACTCGAACTGATGAACGTACGTACGAAGTTCTACGTTGTTACTGACTGACTGATTAAGTTACAGACATGATACATTTTTTAATTGTCACCATCTCGTCGACCGATGTAATGTGTACTCGGTAAGGGGAATATTTTCGATTACTGATAAGCTCATTCACAGAGTACTATTCAATTTTATGTAGCACGGTAATAACAGTAACAATTTGAGAAGGAATAAAGAGAAACTATTACTCACTCGTGCTGCTTTAGCATTTCGAATAGTGATCAATTGTTGAGCAATAACAGACAATACTTCAATATCAATACGATTAAATTCATCAAAACAACACCATGCCCCAGATTGAGCTAAACCAGAAAAGAAACGACCCATCATTTTGTAATCTAAACCATCGGAACAATTGAAAACAACACATTGTTTTGCTACAGATTTAGCTAGATCTTTAGTTGTCTCCGTTTTACCAGTACCAGCCGGACCAGCCGGTGCACCTCCTAAATCTAGTTGTAATGCACCCATTAAACATAAATAACATCTAAAACAAAATAAAATAAATAAAAGAATTAAATTGCTACCAACTGTGATATACAGAATAATATCTATTTCACCTTGAGTTGAAACTCTTCAGTAGTATATAACCATAATGTATGCCATTATGGAATATATAGCCTACTGGTCCCATTATGAACAAAGTACCTTCCGACAATTAAAGCAAAGTCCAGTAGTAAAGTGATTTTCCACGTTGTTTAGCGACCATTTCATATCATCAGTGAGATGTCGCTTTTTGGTTTCAGTATGATCATACTCCACCTATCATAGGTGAATTTTATGCTACATCCTGTTACATCGAAAACCTATCAGTCTGTAGTTTCATATTTGGGTCACGATGAGATATTTAATTCATCTTAACAAAATGTTGAGTTATAAACTTGACATAAATATAAACTGCTTGATCACTACTTTAATATGTAATCTAGTTTCACAATTTCTCGTTACTTGTCATTAAATCATTCCGTCTTAACAACTACATTGATAAAAAATCTTAGTTCAGAGTAAAATCAGAGGATAACGAAACTCACAAGGTTATTATATCAAGTATCATGAATTAGTAAATCATCGGTTTATGCTGATGATGGTGTTCAGTAGAACGATGAAAGCTCCACGATCAAACTATCCATTTTAGAGGACAAAACCGCATCAAAATCATCCACCTGAGCTACAAATCTTCAACATCTCAGATCCTAATATATCAGGATAGGTTTATGAAAAAGAAGTTAGCTTAAACTTCACTCATTCTAACGCTCCATGTCGAGTTGTTTCTTCAAATTCGTTTGATCTCAAATAACTCAGTGGTGTGGTAGATCTTATTATGTAACAAGGATTGTAGGATCAAAATTTAAGAAAGATATTTGATATCAAAAACGTTTCATTTACATTTTGATCAGAATGGGGTTTGTGGAGATTGTAGTGACTTTAATAGTTGAATTAATGAATCGATTAAAGCTAGACCATCAATGAAAACCTGGAAGCGATGGGCGGCCGTTTCGTTTTAATCTGGGACTCCTCAGTAGTGTGCATCCTGCATGTTGGACTCGAACCCAGGACCTTCGGTCTCGCGCTTGAACACTTAACCTCTAAACCACTCAGCTGTTATCTAATAGTCTTAATGTCTAACTTCAATCGACCCATGAATTTACATTTGACATAATGTTATTATCTTTGCATTCACTTGAGATGATGGTCTGTTTTTGATTTCCCCGTGTATATCCATGATGCCATATAAATTTGAGTCTTAACTCTGAATAAACATTCATTAAATTCTCCAAGGTTTTCGAAATTTCCCCTACTAACATTAATTTATAATAAGAATTGTATAATATATGTCTTCATCAAAAATAAACTTACTCTTATACTTACCTATCGGTCAATGGAGTGATTACTAAACGAGGTGATGCACCTAGATATTCATAACCATAAATATAACATGCACTGGCCATTTTTACAACACATGTATCTAAATCTAAATCCCAATAATATCTAAGTTGACGTTGCCAATCAAAATTATCTAATGAATCAACTTTATTATTGACTAATTCTGTAACCATATCACGTGCATGTACATCAATTGTAATTAAAGCACATAGAAGTGAACGAAATAATTTTGGTAATTCTCCACGTACTAGAGTAGCAAGTTTGTTAAGTCCCTAAAATTAGAAAGAAAAGGTTAACGATAAATGGTATTGTCAGTATAGAGTTGTGAAGATTATTCAATTTTTGACTGAGATCATGAACCGATTGATGTTAGACCACCATTGAGAACATGAAAGCATTGGATTGCCGTTTCTTCTTATTGTGAGACTCCTAAGCAATGCACACTCACCACCCCGTGAGGAGTCCCACAATAGGATGAAACGGCTGTCCAGTGCTTCCAGGGTTTTAATGGTGGTCTAACATCAATCGGTTCATGATCGCCATCAAATACTAATGTATTTTAACAAGGTTGAATAAATTGATTCAGTTTTTATTCAGTTAATATGATCTGACTAATTTACCTGAATAAAACCCTTCATCAAAGAGTCAGTAAAAACGTCTATGATCTACAAGTTAGAATCTTTCAAGATTGCAAGCATTCCTTGATTATTAATATTATATATTATGGAAAAGACATCAACCAGAGCTTTATAGCGGTTACTATCAATCACTTCACATGTTAACGACACATACTAACTATCTAATACTTAACGAAACTGTTTTTCAGTTGGTTAGTGATAATTTGGATAAACTGAATTCCACGAACCATACTATCCTTAAGCAATTCTCAAAGTTATCAATCACAATATGGCTGGTTACTTATTGGTTGATGCATGACAATGAACAATAATAACTGACAACATCATGGACAATTTTTTGGAATGAGCTGTCTCAGAAGTACTAATCAGTTAAGGATAATCGGAAAACTGTATGCTTATCAATGAAGTAGTACTAAAATGATGGTTTTTCTTGGCGGAAAGATCCATAGTGTGAAAAACCCCACCAATTTGTTTAAAATAACCTACTTACTGTATAGCATTTCGCTTCATATTCTTTTAAACCATCAAGACGATCTTCTGGGAGAGGATCTTCCAAAATTAACGTGATATCACGTGACCACATTAATTGTTCTACTGTTAAAACAATTTGATTTGCATGTGCTTTAAGCCATTCTTCACGATGTAAACTTTCAAAATCATTTATAGCAATTTTCATTAATTTACGAAGATTTGTAAACATTGCTTCTTCAACTTTACCTAACCAATCTTCAACATTACCTCTAGCTTTCAAACCCTTAAATAAAAGTGGAAAAATACGGAACATACATGTTAACAGAACATACTAAGACATAAAAATGTGATTATAAATTATCTTGTGAGGCAGTGACTCAATGAAGACAATGGTGAACCGTGACGCGATTTCGTGAATTGGTTGAAGTTAGATATTAACATCATTGGATACCGGCTCAGCGGTTTAGAGGTTAAGCGTTAGCGCACGAGACGTAAGATCTTGGATTCGAGTCCAGCATGCTAGGCCGTGGATGAGCACTGTTAAGCAGTTCCATGCTAGGATGAAACGCCCGTCCACTGCTTTCAGGTTTCTCATGGAGGTCTACCTTTAATCAGCTTAAGAATCCGACTAATAAATTATCTAGCAGTTAGTAAACGGTAAATTTTGGACAGAAATATCAAACACGAAATAATTAGTCAAGCTCGTGTTTCTAACATCTATAATAAAGTTACAATAGAAACCTGAAAATGGATAGCGGCTAGCAGTGGAATTTAGGACGCACGTTTCGTCCTATTTGGGACTTATCAGCTGGATGTGTCTGCACCCCAGAGTCAACGTTCACTCTTCGCCATGTTCCACTGCTAGCCACCATCAATTTTTGTTCAAAAAGCTTGTGACTTAAGGCAATAGCGATGCGATCTGCACAGGATGCACATATGATAATAGGACACTGATCAATTGCAGACCTAAACAACAATCGGATGATACAAAAAAATAACACCAAGTGAATCTATAGAGTTCTAGTTGACTCCAGTTTCTAGTTTAGGAAATTCATTGGAATTCAATAAAAATGCTATATACTGTGTGTGTATGGTGTAAAATTGCATTACTTCTACCAAACGACCTATAAAGAGGTGCTTGGTAGTACTGTAGATAACTCATCTAGATAGTTTTTAACAGTAAATGTACAGACAATAATATTTTAGTTCACAGTAGTCTACAAGTTGTAAATGTTGCTTTTAATCAGTTCCCAATCAAAATTTTTAAGATATGATATAATTTTTAAATCCACCTGGTATTGTTTTATTCAATCTTCTCATTGATGCTCAAGACTGCAATCGATAAGTCTCTTATTGGTATATGTTCATCCTGTGCGTATTGCCTCAATATAGTCTTAATTCCCAAGCGTTCTAAGCGAAGATGAATAGTGGCTAGTAGTAGAATTCAGGTACATCCAGCTGACGAGCCCCACATTGGACGAAACTCGTGTCCTAGATTCTACTGTTAGCCACTATCCATCTTTGATATAATTTTTATATTATCTAAATGTAAATTTTTTAAATCTAATGTCATTAACTATAGAATATAGTTATGTAGCTAGAAGATGACAACACGTAACTCTGGTCTGTTTGTTATAAACTCCAGTATGTTTGAAATACATTATTTATATCACAGAGGCTGAGATTGATGTTCTGGAATTAATAGGTCAGGCTAGGTGGGTGGCAGGACCGATAAAAACTATAGACTGCTCGTACTTGTTTTATGCGTCATTGGTTCTGTTGATAATTCACTGTTCTCTAATTGACAGTATCATTTCTTTATACATTGAGAGGAGCCTAAACTCACAAGTTGTAACAACTCTAGTTTAGTGAATAGTACTATAAATAGTATAATCGTCTACAATTTATGAAAGTTCAGCTTTTAATATCTGATGGGTTTAAGTGTTAACATAGTTGAACAACCTAAAATAGATCTAAAAGAAAAATAAACGTTTAAGTTATGATCAGTTTCAAGAATTGAATCAAATTAGATTACCTTGCCAAGTGAGACACGTTCACCTTCAGGTGAAAGCATAGCCAATATATCATTGGTATAAACAGGTTCATCTAAAAAGAGAAGAAAGAATTTGAATAGAATGTTTTAGAAACACTAACTAGTTGGTTAAACTATGAAAAATAAACATAAACAATCTTGAAAAGAATCAAGGTTTGAGATTATAATTTATAGGGATACTACCCCCTAAACTCAGGGTTTGAAAAGTCGGAAACATAAAAAAATTTCTCAACTGCGATAAAAAATGATATTGGTGGTCTAGTAATAGTATTGCGACAATAAGTTTTAAGCGTAATTTGAACCTTAACGCTTCAGGTTGAGCTATTTCGTTTACTACTCTACATATGCGTTGTATAAAATATGGGCCATATGCTATATGGCTATGTAGAGCTGAAGGTCTCAAATGAGATGGTGGAGAAGATTTGTAGCTCAGGTGGATGATTTTGGTGGAGTTTTGTTCTCTGAGCTGAATGGTTTGGTCGTGGAACTTTCATCGTTCTTCTGAACGACATCATCAGCAGCACAAACTTCAGATAGAAAAGAAGTGTTTGTATTTCTCCATATGTGTCTCAAAGCTTGTTCTGTGCACCTCGACGTTGATTGGTTCTTATTGACCTTAAATTTGTCGTTGTTTACTTCTTTGTTTTGGTTGTGTCTCCCATTGTTTTGATTTTTGTTCTTACGTTTGTGCATGATTTTTCTGATTGGTTGATAAATTGGATTGATTTCAATATGCTTGTTGATTGCTGATTGACCTGAGTGCCAGGCTTCTAAAAATTCTCTGGTGTTTTTGGAGTTTTCTCTGTCTAAGATTTCCACATTTTTCCAATCGAATGAGTGTCCGCAGTTGTCCACGTGGACAAGTTTGTGTTGATGATGTCGTTCAGAAGAACGATGAAAGCTCCACGACCAAACCATTCAGCTCAAAGAACAAAACTCCACCAAAAAGGTCTCATATGAGACTAGGGGTTTGCCATTAATATCGTGGATGGTTCGGCATTACTTTGGCAAGTTTTGATGACTGTTCATGCACGAAATCGGTTTGCTGGTTAACCGATTTCATTCATACTGGTGGTTGCTTCTCACTGTTCTCAAAGGCCATTGTCGTTCGGACATTGTAAGGCATATCGCCATTGTTAACATTAATGAGTTTGACTGTCGTGTAAGTGGAATAGGTAAACTTTGGCCTGTTCGTGCTGTGCATCATTGATTCATGCGATCACTGATCGGAATAACTATGCATGTGACATGAATGTGCATCTGAATGGTGCGAATGGTCCACCAGGATGCTTGGTATTTGTGTGGTTGCACCACAGGATTGAGCTGTACTACTCAGATTGTAGCGTTAAAGTCTATATGGTGTGTGGTTCTCCTGTTAAACGGGATTGAGTTGTACTGTTTGGGTTGTCACGTGTAAGTCTGGATGGTGTCTGGTTCTCTTGACAACCAATGTGAAATTACCGTGGCCCAAAAGGGTCTGTTATATAACTATATTATATAACTATAACTTATGGATGACCTTAAAAAGACACTAAATTGACCTTGAGAATGTTGACCTAGTAACTACGACTAATGAGGACTATAAACCAGTGTGTGAGGAATTAGATTTATGGTTCTGGGTTCGAATCCTGCGGGCGAGATCGTGGATGCGCACTGCTGAGGAGTCCCACAATAGAACGAAACTACCGTCCAGTGCTTCTAGGTTTTCAATGATGGTCTAACATCAATCAATTCATTATTTCAATCAAGAACTTGATAATCTCCACAACCCCTTTACTAGTAAAAAAAAAAGAAAAACAACAATAAAATCAAAATCAAACTAATATGATTACCTTTATTCATAGAATCTGGTGTTATACCAAATTCTAATTTCATAATAGCATCAAAACATTTTCTTAAATGTGGTTGTACAGCTAATGGATTACGAGTTTGTGCTAAAATTTCTAATAATTCATCATTAGATAAAAAATAAAAACGTGGAAATATGGAACGTTTTGATTCTAAATAAGCTTCAAGACATTTTTGTATTTGATCTAATAATTGATTATTATTACGTAATGTATCATATAAACCAGGTTGTGTTGCAGCACGTATAGCTAATGGAACTTTTTGTATTTTACGCATTATATCTTTATATGATTTATCAACAGACATAAAACTTTTTGATTCACTAGGTAATTGACGTTGAATATCTGGTGCAGAAAATATACTTTCTAAATATAACCAACTTCGTTGACATTTCATCCATTCATCCTTGAAGTAAAAGAAAAATTATTAAAAAATCAGTAATTATCACTATGAAGTTGTAAATATTACGGAGTTACATATTAATCTAAGATAACCATTCAAAATCTGAAATCAGTAAATAACCATCTTGTTCTAGTATAGAACTGCTTAGTAGCAGGCACTCATGACTCAAAGTCAGAGGGAATGAGGGAGGTTGATTTTGAATACAGTGGTCTTGAGTACTGTTAGAAGAGATATGAGGGTGGTTGTCACTTTCCGGTTGTCCACACTGTGAAAGGGTTCTTCTGGAGGTACCTCTTAGTGACCTGAGAGCGTGACCGCAGTGCCCAAGGGACAACTAATTAAGGCGAGTCACATACAACCGTGTTACGAGTAATTTTTTTGTTAGCTCCGTACTTGTTGAAACCTTATTGCCGGAGACGGATATCCATGAGATAAGGTGAGGTGTGCAATTGAAGAGTCGACTTTTTCTACCCCCTCTCTTGTGAGAAGGCAGCATCGCTGTCATGCTGGTTGTTCGAATGAAACACCTTACTGCTGTCACACCTTTGTACAGTCAGCAGTACGACTTCGCCCTCAGACCTTGGGCCTGCTACTTTTAGTCCTATCGCTCGTCAACCAACCTGTCTGACATGGTAGGACCTTGATGAACGATTGTTCCAGCCAGTATAGCTCGGTTGCTTCATCACGATAGGCAAACCCGACCACCACGTCAAGGTAGCAACAACGGTCGGGACTGGAAATTGGACCCAGGACCTTAGGTATTGCATATAAATACCTAACTTCTATAACACTGAGCAGGGTCGTGTAATGTCATGGATTAATTGAAGTGAGGCTAGTACATCATCGAATTTCAGTTTAGCTGTCTATAGGTTCAGACGTTTACACACGAGATTAAAGGTGCTGGGCTCTATTCTTGGTTGTGGGATTGTTGAGTAGTCTTGTACTAGGACAAAATGATCATCCATTTTTACCAGGTTTTTTGGATGGTTATCTAACATAAGTCGGTTCGTGATCTCAAATAAAAATCACTTAAGAAAACTGCTAGAAGTTGAAGTTATCACGAGTTCACTTAATCTGCGAACAAGAAAAAAGACTCAGTGACCAAAGATTAGTAAGCTAGCTATTTGATGCGTCCCAGCCCCGCTAACTAGAGCGAGAAATCCAAGCTTGGAATGGGGAAGTATATTCTGCAAACAGCCAGAAACGAACGATAACAACAGACACAATTCAAGATGTATATATATATATATATATATATATATATATATATATATATATATATATATATATATATATATATATAGCACAAAAATGTCCTTGGTGAGAGTTAGCAAATAGCATACTGAAAGACGCAACAAAGCAATAGCATTTAAGATATTTCCCAGTGGGAAATACGACATCAAGGTGACAAGAACGCATTTGGCGCGAAAACAACGAAATTCAAATTTCCTAAATAAAATTACAAAATTAGGTCTTTTCCCAAGTGAGTTCTGGGGGATCTAACGTCCCCAACAAAAACATGTACAATATGCTAGACTGTAACACTGACTATTTTTTACTCTAAAAAAATCATTGAACGTAATTCTTTATAGTTAACATTTTTAGTGATACAAATAAACTATCATGCAAAGCGTGGATATGATTACATAATCAAGAATTATTATTGGGTTTCAGTGTCACTACTCTGAAACGTCACTTAATCCTACTATGAAAACAAATAACTTAGCATGTTAACTTATGTGTTAGGTAAATGCTGGGAATATACTTCCTGAATGTTTTAGAAGATACATGTGATGAAGT